TTTACAGTTTAAAAACTAAAAAGAATAGATAAGTGCACATAACACATTTTCATGTAAAAAGTACATTTAACAAATAAAATCCACTCAATTTATTTTAGAATAATGATCATGAAAGGCAACTTCTCTCATGTAATAACATGTTATGCTGTTGTATCTTTTCTATTAACCTGGTTTTATGAAGAAAATTAAGAATGCTTTTATCTGTATAAATGCACACACACAATCACAGTTATTTGTCATTCTCTCCTACATAAAGTCTAAGCAAGCAAGCTTTTATAGTTATTTGAACTTTGAATTCTGTCATCTTAGAATCCACCAATGCATCGTTCTCTCTTTCTAATGTAAAAACGCACACACACTTATCGCAGATTTTTTTCATTTTTAAAAACAATTTACTAAGACCTGTTTCAAGACCATCATTGACCATATTGTTGCATTCGGCTTAATCTCGCTGCCCTGTCAGCTGTGGCTTCAGAATACGTTGACTGTACCTCTGTAAAGATCACTTCCACCACACAAGGCCATCTGTTTGCCATGGTTAGTGACTCATGATGTCTGGGGATGTGATCCCGGTGGTTGATGGCTTCAGGAGTCAGGGTTAGTTCTGCTTGTCAACACACCACTTTGGTCCTTACTTGGACAAGCTGAGTGGTTGGAGAGGCCCAATCCGATCAATTGGCTGGTCATAAGCCCTAGCACCTATAACTGTCAATTTATGGAGTACTTTATAACTAAATACAATACCCCAAATATACACTGGGATAAAATACCATCTCTATCCAATTTATAGGCATTAGAAAACGATGACTGAGGGTCAATTGGTTCAAAGAGATCTAGACTTAGAGATGACTGTTAACATACCAGTTTGTACACTTATTTGGGAAGTGTAACAAATGGTTAAACGGGTGCTTAGAATCTCTCTCGAATATGAGTATACTGGTTTGTGTAGCCCTGCTCTATCATTTTGGCTGGATTTCCCCTTGATGTGTCCCAATGTTGAGCTCCAAGGTGGGTAGAAAGCATAGGCAGTGAATCTTAATATGCAAAAATTATGAATAATCAAAATAAAAAACCCAAGAGATGTCTTTCAGACTCTGATTCAAAAAAAGAAATTAATATGGAATTTTAAAGATTTTTTTTGTGCTCACATCCCTAGAAGAAACTCTGGCAAAACTTTCCCTTTCCTTGATTGAAAAGGTTCTATCCAGTATGATTAATCCTAAAACAGAAAGTTGAGAGATGGCAATTTACTGGTTGAGGTGAAACACAGGAAACACAGAAAATATAATAAAGATGAAGACCTTTCATAATATCAAAATTAAAACCTTCCCTCATGCAAGACTGAATGAATACTTCTAAGGGAGTCATTGGAAGTAAAGAGTTGTCTCTGGCCACACCTGAGAAAATTACATCTACTTTAGGAAGCCAAGGGCTCAATGATTACTATAAAGTCTCAAAAGAAAAGGGGGAAACAATTACAACTGACACATATCCTTACTTTTGGCACACCTGAAATCCCCCCACCAATAAAAATAGGGTATAATATTGAGCCAGTGGAACTATATTTCCCTGCTCCACTAAGATGCCAAAAATTTGTACATCATAGGTGTTAATGTTGTAGTTATTGCACTTGCTTTTGGTTGTTGTTTAGTGCCACAAGGTGGTGGCTTCTATAAAATGCTGGCATCCATATTGAAAATGTTTTATTTGTTTGGTTGTCAATATTTAGACTAACAGGAGGTTTACCTTATTGCAGATGCAATTGATTCTTTGAGGATTATCAAATGATAGCAGAGCATAGCTGATCTGTAACAAAAAATTAAGTGAATTTCCTTTTCTATTTTTCTGTTACTTTTAAAGTTTTGTCACTCTAAGACTTATAATTTATGTAAAAATGGATAATTCTAATACATGTTCTTCCAAATGGCCTCCAAGGCTAGACAATGAATCTATGCCTATGAACAATGGAAGAAAAGCTTACATATTTGGATTAGGTTGACAGATCTTCCAAAACCAAAAGAGGCTTTGGCTATTTACCTGTCTTTAAGTGGAAAGGCCAGAGCTGCTGCTTCTGAGATAGTGAAGATTTAGAAACAGAAACAGGTGTGGATACTATTATCCAAAAACTGGATGAATTATTTCTGCCAGATAAAAGGAGACAGCAATTTGTTGCCTTTAATAATCTGTACAATTCAGCTTCCAGAAAATTTCATAAGGAAGAATTGGTACATGTACACATTGGCCATATGAGAATAATCAACTTACACTTACTAAACAAAGAAGATCAACCAGTATTGAAACAGCATATAATATTAAACACATATTAACTGAGTGCTCAGATTTTGCTCTCTCAACACAAAAATATTATAACATAAACAATATGTATTATCTGTTTAAGAAAGTGGATGATATACCATTTCTTAAAAACAATAGGACTCTATCAAAAATTATAACCCAAATGAGAATGTCAAAATCAATTTCTCTACAAACTGTGTCTGAAAAGAATACATCAATGAAAACAAATTCTCAACAACAACCCTATTTACAAAAATATATCAATGAAACTGGATGTACAAACTGTTTCCTTACAAAGAATATATATTCTATTCATATGAATCTATTGTAAAATTCTTGTTGGCATATATAATCCATTGAGGTTGATATGCCGTAAAACAAACCATCTCGTTCATGTCATTTCAATGGCAATTTTAGTTTTTGGAAAAGCCAGAAGTTACAGGAAGCCAAATCTGGACTGTAGGCACAGCTTACAGATTCTGTATAAGACATTAACAATCTACTCCATGATTGTGAATGCTGCAATTACATAATACACAAGCTTTCTCAATGGTGTTTAATTGCTGACTGTGTAACTTTATGGGAGAGTGACCATTTATGTATGCACAGTAATATTCCCTCTGATTGGTTACATCAAAGAAGCATAACTGGCTCTCAAGATATTTAAAATGTTTGGATATATTCCAGACAAATCACATAATAATGACCCAGTCATTTATTAAATAATAAAACTGTATGCTGTTTTAATTTAATATAAATTCATTAAAAATGAAATATTTTGCTAGTTCTTGCATAATTTTTTTCCTGTATCTAATTTCCCTGAATCTTAGCTTGAAAAGTTAAACCATTGAACATATTTTGCATATTCATCATTTTGTAAATGGGATTGTATGTTTTATTCACTTTAAATCTTGTTTATGTGGATACTTGGATTATATAATTGAGGAATAATTGGTCTTGCTCATTTAATAAAAATCCACAAAATAAGTAGTGCTTTAATTTAAAAAGTCTTGATAAACTTTTTTGGTTGTTGTTTAGTGCCACCAAGTGGTGGCTTCTATAAAATGCTGGCATCTATATTGAAAATGTTTTATTTGTTTGGTTGTCAATATTCAGACTAACAGGAGGATTACCTTATTGCAGATGCTATTGATTCTTTAAGGATTATCAAATGGTAGCAGAGCATAGCTGATCTGTAACAAAAAATTAAGTTAATTTCCTTTTCTATTTACTTTTAAAGTTTTGTGACTCTAAAAAAGTATCAAATTATTATTTTCAGAATTTAATCAACTGATACACACAAATGCACGCACACATAATTCCTTTGCTTAAAGATGAAATCATTTTACACAGCAAATATTTATTTTTCATCATAATCTTCAATTTGTATTAAATGATAAAAAGAAAAAAAGAACTGGTTATCTATTGTATAAGAAAATAACTTCAAAATTTGAACTATATTTTTGGTTCATGCATACAGTATATAAATGGATCTTTTTTGTTTTGATGGCTCAAAAATACCCATGTACAAAAATATGTGTAAAATTACTTGAGAATCTAACAGGAATTTTGAACTTTTTAAAAAAAAAATTCTAAAATATAAATTCCAAAGTTATTGAATGTTAGTCTACTTTATAAATTCATTGAAAAATTACAGGCATTTCACTATTGCTTTTATTATTTTATTTATCTTTTTGAAAGTGGTAATGGTAGTTACAATTCACTGTTCTTTAATGGTGAGAATTTTGTTTGTAGTAAATTGAATCCTCATAGTTTTTGAGTACTGAACAAACCCTGTGTTAAACTTATGCTTTGCGTGTAATTTAAATGGAATAAATAAATTCTTAATTAAATGACTTTCATAAGAAATATATCTTTAAGTTAATACAATAGAATGCTTTAAATAGACATGATTCTATAGATATATTTTTATTTTACTTTCTTTGAGGATGTAGTATGAGGGAGGTGTTGAAAAGTTCTTGGCTTGACCAAGAACTGTCTAAAATATCATGTTTGGGTCATTTGGTCAGATTTTGCAAAGTGGACTGGGTTAAAAAATTTCAATGACCACTCCCAATACATTTTCAGATTTTTTAAAGCAATTAATGAATTTCTTAAATCTTATATGTTATTTTAAACAGTGAAATTAATGTCAACTGAACTAGATATAAAGAAACCATACCAAAGAAAATGATGTTTCCTGGCAGGAACTGAACCTGTATTATCCTTCTGTCATCAGGGAAAGCACTTTTAACTAATGTATGCCCTACCAATTAAGTCATGGGAAACAATCATGATAAAACAAGGTTCAGTTACCTTAGAATTGCACAGATCTTGTTGGAACTTCTTGAAATTTGTATTGGATAGCTTATTTTTATGCCTGAAACACAAATATTCAATTCCTGTCAAAAAGCACATTTTTCTGTAGTAAGAATGGATCTTTAGACCAGTTGACATTAATTTCACTGTTCAAAATAACAGGGATATGAATTTAAACACATCTACACATTAAAAGCAATGTTTATAGTATTAAGAAATTTTTAAGTACTCTTATCTTTTTTTTCTTGTAAGTGTACAAGAACCAAGATATTCAATTTTCTAAAAAGCTTTAATTTTTTATTTTATCATAAACAAGCTGAATGATATTCAATGTTTAATTTTATATTCTTGTATAATATGTCTTTTTTTTTTTTTTCCTGTTGTAGGCCTATTTACAAGAAGGCACGGCATTACTACAACTTGGTAATCATGGTGATGCTATGGCTTCTTTTGCTTCGGGGTTGGCTCAGGAATCCTCCAATAGTGACTTGTTATCATCACTCATTGATACTGCTCTTCAATCTCCTCTGAAAGGTAATAACTGTTTTATATCTGTTTGCTTGCTTTGAAAAATTCAATCTTTACTTAGTAAATTAATCTATCGAGTTAGCAAATTTATTTCTTGTAACAATTATTTACATTTCACTTAGAGATCATTTTCAAGCAAGATACTAGGTTAATGTTTATATAGTCCTTTAATAAAAAGTAGGGGGTTATACTATGTTTTGATATTTACTAACCTTAAATACTGGTTGGAAGATTGTGCTAATTTTTCAAATGGGAAGAGCCTGCCTATTTTGAAAATACAATGTTGTGTACTTTCTGCTAAGAATTGTGATTTTAGCTGTAATATTGTGTATTAAAATTAATATAAGATAACTTTTCAGATTTTTTTTACTTGTTTATCATATTAAAAAAGTAATGTTTTGCCTTGTGGTTGAGATCTTTGTGCATTTCTCATTGGTGTTCAAGCCCAGTTAAAAAAAAAAAAATCTAATTTTTAAGACAAGAAGGCCTTTTCTACATGCCACATTTAGACTTGTGCCATATTTTTAAGCTAAGTAAATAACAACATAAAGCATTTTTTGTAATAATAGCTTAAAAAACAGCCATATTGTTTTCTAATGTGACATTTTTAAGCATTTTTTTTAAATCATTTTATTTTAATATCTTTAAGTAAGACATGTTTGCTGTGTCATAACTTGTTTAAATTATTCTAAGGGCAATTTTTGGTATATCCATTGCATGTTTATATCACCAGGATTAAAAGGATGAAGAGAAAATTGTGTTGTATTGAAATTATGTGAAAGTTTAACAGTCAAGGTTATGGGAATGTTCCACTTTATATAAAACTATTTATGTTTTAAGAATTATGTTTTGTATGTTACTAGGTACAGTGTTCTATGGATAAATACATTGTTATATTGCTAGAATGTTAGTTTCTTTCTTTACAGTTTGATAAAATATTTCAAGATTGTAACAGGGCTAACACTCTGAAAAAATCAACACTCATAAATGATTTTAAAATATTTTACTCCTAAATCTCTCTAAAATAACTGTAATTTTCTTTTTTTTTTTTTTTTTTTTTTTTTAAATAAGGCATTTCCCTTACTGTACTTATTGACATTTATCTCCTATTCCAAATCTTCTGCCTAATGCCTGCTTTTCCTTTTCAATTATCATTTCCATTTTATTTCATTAATGCAAGTGATGTCTAATTTCCTTCCTTGTGATATTTCCCCACTTTTTCTTGACCTGGCTATTATGCTATAAGCCAGTAGTTGTTCTTCATCCTTAAGTGCTCTCACATAACATTTTTTCCTCATCAGTAATTATAGTGAAGAAAAAAAAGGTAGTAGAAAAAAAGATTCTCTCAGTAGTTTTTTTTTTCTGACAGTTGTTTTGTTTGTTTAGAGAATTTATTTTTTTAAGTTCTTTAGTAATTAAAAATATCAAGTGAAAAGATATGACATTACAAAAACTTTTTTTTTAAAAAGTGATATATTCCCATATAGAGACAATTGTATATAAATAACTGCAGTTATGAGAATGTTTCATTTTATTCAATTTTGCTATGTAATATATCTAATTGTGTTCAGAAGTGATTTAAGGAAATCTCATGAAAATGCAATGTTTTTCTATTGCTAAATTATTAAATTATTTTTGTTTGTGCTATTGAGTTTTTTTTAATAAACTAAACTTTTTGGAACATAAATTTTGGAAACTGTATTTATTTTTTCTTTGAATTAAATGTGAAGTTTCAAGTTTTCCCAAGTTATGGAACTTGGAATTTGGGCTCAGTACTGTATTACATAGCTTTACCTGCACATGTAATTCCATTAAGAAATAGTGATTGTAAATAAAAGCTGTTTGTCCTATTTAAGTTATGTTTCTCTTAGATAATGAGTCTTACCAACTCTTCAGTTCAGTGCTCAACAATCATATACTTGCAAAACTAATAGATATATTTTCCTCAAAATGTTGAAGTTTGTATGAACTAATTGTTATAATAAATTTGTAAAATTATTAAAGTTCAGTGTAAAAGCAGTTTGTATTGATAGAAATTCAACATATTTTTTTTTAATTTTATCCTTGACATTTGAAAATTGATGTAAATACAGATTAAAAAAATTAACTTTACATTCTGAATAAATTAGTTTGTAATGTCATCTTTATCCAAAAAATAAAACTAAAATCTCTTATTCATTAAATGTTCCTTTTTAGAGTCAATAAAATGACTTCTGTAATAAATTTGAAACTAGTTTTATAGCATAAATTAAAGATTTTTATTTTCTTTTATGGGTGAAAATAACATAATTATATCATAACTTTTCAACTTGTAAAGAAGACCAGCATGCCAAACCCTATCAAATGCCTTAGAGATATGCAAAGCAATGCAGCCATAATGTTTTTTTAACATTGACAAAAATAGACAATATCTTTAATTTTAGCACATGTATTTTATTGAATTTTTTTTAATGTATAGATGGATTTTAAAAGAATCATTATATAGATAATCTCCCAGATTTAGACCACATTCATAGAATACATAGCAAGGAACAAATCCACTTGCAAAACTAGTAAGTTCTTAAAATATTGTCAACTATTACAATCCCCAAATTGTTAACAAAGTATTTGAGAAAGTAACAAGTGTATTACTGTATTTTTGGCCATATAATACACAAGATATTTTTCATTCTGATTATCAGAAGTATATCAGTCAACTGTTAACCTAATCAGTTGATCTCTTGTGATATAATGCACAAAATTATTTTACTGAGCAGAGAAGTGAACATTATTTGAGAAGATATATAGTAGCTGTGTGTGTGTGTGTGTGTGTGCATGCATGCAGCTTAAACTAGGAAACTTTGAATTTTAAAATTATATTTTATAAACAATTTTTAAGATACTTTGTTGTGGTTTTATAAATGCTCCTTTTTGTTCTAAAATTATTTCCACAAAAAAAAATGCAGATTATAGAATTTTATAACACATTTTTGTCTTTGAAATCCTAAGATTATTTTTTTCTTTAAATTCAACCTTAATGCTGGTCCGTAAAGCTCTTTTTTTTTTTTTTTTTTTTTTTTTTTTTTTTTTTGGAAATAACCTTTTTTTTTTTTTACTATATGACCACAATTGAATTCCAATTTAATACTGAAACCTGACATTCAATATTCATAAAATAAAAATCAATAAAATATAATCAAAAAAGTTAGTTTAAATTAAACTTGCAAGGTTTTTTTTCCCTTTCTCTTGACCATAGATGGGTTTTCCCTAATTAGTTGTTTATGGCACTAATGCTTCATTTGGTGTACTGTTTCTTTAATTATTATGACTTTGGTAATCTGTTGGCTATCTTCTAATCATACATGAGTGAATACCTGATGAGGAAAGGACACAAAAATACACTCACCATCTTGGATACATAATTTTTTTCTTACTTATCTATAACTAAAAGGAATGTTAAGTAAACAATACTAAAAGCCTTATTCTTTTCTTTTTCAGAGAAACTCAACCCAGTATTTCAGCAGTTGCAAAAGATGAATCTTGACCACAATTCTTTTGTAATAATTGCTGTTATTGGTCAGGAACTGCTGGCAGCTGGCCATTACAGTGCTTCTGTTACAATGCTTGAGTCTGCATTGTCCATTGGTACAATCAGTCTCAAACTCAGAGGATCAGTTTTTTCAGCATTGAGCCGAGCTTACTGGGGTACTGGAGACATAGACAAAGCTATTATCTATATGGATGAAGATCTTAACATTATGAAATCAATGGGTTAGTGATACTGCTTATTATTTGTTATTTTCAATAAAACAGGAACATTTTATTTTAATGAGTATTACTGTATTTTACTATTTGGCCATGTGTTTTTTCCTTCTTATTCACTGGACTATATGAAATTTATTATGATTAACTGATATATATTGAAGATGACAAAGAGTGTGATCATTTTTTTTGTTCCTACTGCATGAGCAGATAAAGTAGGCAAACCACTCTCTGACAAATATGTTTACTCACCTATTTTCTATAATTGAGATATGTCGAGACATTTTGCCAGGATATTTGATAAGATGTAGTGCAAGCAAAGGTTGATTTCTCCTCTTGGGAATGGGCATTTGTGCAATGTGATGACAGACTTAACTAGAATTCATGCTTTCTTTACCAATTTCATTTTTCCTGCTGAAAATTATATAATTTTGAACTGTATGCATATAATATATAATGAAGTGTTCGGAGTCTGACCCACTTTGCAAAATGAGTATTTCAATGATCAATTCATAAGAAGTTTGAGGGGGAAGGGTTACAAAAACTTGAGTGTACTAAGTATGTTGAACTTTGGGGTGAATATATGGAATAGCATGTATGTCAGTTTACAGTTATTCTTGGTTACACAGAACTTTTCACACCCTTATTGTGTGTGTAAAAGGTGTCATCTGTAAGTCCTAATGAACTTTTAGTGTACTTGCTTTCACACTGTTTTGTGAGACAACAATAAGATACCGTTGCAAAGAATTTAAAGCATCTGATATGAAACAAGTTTTTTTTTTTTTTTTTTAATTCTTTGCTCTATGAAAGTATATTGTTGTGGAGTATTGCTCTCTTACATTTGTAAACACAGGCAAAAAAAAATGTTTGTTGCAATATATAATACATTAAGATGTGTTCAAAAACTGACTGACAAGGGATTGAATACAACATAAATAAAAGCAAAGATATTAATCTGTAGGAATCTGTGAGCTATATAAATGATTAGTAAAATATTCACAAGTGTCTAATGAAATTTTTGATAGTATTCTTTAGGAAACCCTTTGTATTTTGTATATATTTGATTGTTTCACATGCTTTAATATTTCAGGTGATCAAGGTGGTGAATGTCGTGCATATGGAAATCTGGGTTCTGCTTATTTTTCTAAAGGATACTACCGTGAAGCTCTTTCCAATCACAGACATCAGCTTGTTTTAGCCATGAAGCTCAAAGATAGACCAACTGCTGCATCTGCTCTAAGCAACCTGGGACATGTGTACACTGCCATTGGAGACTATCCAAATGCTTTGAATAGTCACAAGCAGTGTGTGCTGTTGTGTAGACAAAGGTCAGATAAATATGGAGAAGCTCGTGAAATTGGAAATGCTGGTGCTGTCTATTTGGCTATGGGCAGTTTTGATTTGGCTATTAATTGCCACAATGAGCATTTACGAATTGCAAAATTATTGAAGAATGCACATGAAGAAGCCAGAGCCTACAGTAATCTTGGAAGTGCTTACCACTACAGAAGAGATTATGAAAAAGCTATTGCATTTCATAATCAAGTTCTGAAAATTGCAGAGCAGAAGAATGATAAAGTCTTGGAGGCACGAGCCTATGCTGGTTTGGGGCATGCAGCACGCTGCAAGGCTGATTATTCTTTAGCCAAAAATTACCATGAAAAACAGTTAGACAATGCTCTGCAGACAAGAGACCGGGTAGCAGAAGGTCGAGCATGTGCTAATTTGGGTATTATATACCATCAGCTGAATGAGTATGAGGCTGCTCTCAAGTTGCACATGATGCACTTAAAACTTGCCAAGAAACTTGGTGACCGGGCAAGTGAGGGTCGAGCATATGGGAACATTGGTAATGCTTATAGTGCCTTAGGCCAGCATGAAATTGCAATGCGCTTTCATAAACAAGAACTATCAATTGCTACTGAGGTGAATGACAGGCATTCAGAAATGTCCACCCATGGAAACCTTGCTGTGGCTTACCATTCTTTGGGTATATCAGACAAAGCCTTGCATCATTTCCTTGCTCATTTGAACACAGCCAGGGAACTCAAGGATAGTGTCAGTGAGGCTAGGGCTTTGTGTAATTTAGGCAACTTTTACAGTGTCAAAGAGAATTACTCAGAGGCTATTCCATATTATGAGCAGTTTTTGACCATATCTCAAGAGTTGCATGAAAAGGAGAGTGAGGCAAAGGCTTGTTGCAATCTTGGTTATGCATACTCTTTGTTGGGAAACTATTCAGAAGCATTGGATTATTATGAACAGCATTTAAATGTTGCCAAAGAAATGCAGGACAAAATGGAGACTGCGCGTGCCTATTGTAGTCTTGGACTTGCACATAAGGCTCTTTCTAACTATGATAATGCATTGGATTGTCAAAGAAAAGCATTGGCACTGATGAAAACATTAAAGAATGTGAAAGGAACTTTTAAGGTGCTAGGTAATATTGGGGATGTTCTTTTGAAGACTGGTCAGGTTGGTGAAGCTGTACAAACCTACCAACAACAACTGACCTTGGCCAAACAGTGCAAGAATCAAAACCTTATTGCAACTGCTTATGGTGCCCTTGGGATGTCACATTGCCGATTAGGTAAGTTTGTATTCCTTATCTAGTATAACAATAAAAATTTAAAAAAAAAAAAAAAAACTTAAAGTAGTTGTTTGGATAATTAAACTGTTTTTACATGAACATTTTTTTATTGCTTATTTTTACATTTTTTTGATACAAAGTATTGTTAATCTCTACATAATTATCCATATTTATTCATGTAAATAGAGTATGAAAACTTAATTATCCAATTTTCATCATTCACCTTCCACTATTTTGAACAAGAGAAAAGGCATATTATAGATATGTATATTTAATTTTAATAAAATATTTTGAAATAAAATCACAAAAATATCACCAAGCAACCTTAAGAACTTTTATAAACTTTAGCTGTTTTAAAAATAAGTATTTCTTAATGAAGAATGGTGTATAATAAAAACATTTTTATATTGTTAGAAAGTTAAATGATTTGGTTATCATGTAAATATAGACCCATTAACTATGAATGACAGGAATTTCCATCTTTGTTGTTCTATGGCTTAATTGTGAATAATAGAAATTTCTGCCACAATTAATAAATGAATTAAAGCATAATGTTGAAGTGTTCCTAACACTTTGAAAAATTACTTTTTTAAAAAAATTTTTTTTTATATACTTGTAAATGTCACCACCAATTTACTTTTTCAGGTCAGTATGATAAAGCTTTAGGTTTTCACAATCAAGAACTGACTATTCGTCAAGAAATGGATGACTTGAGAGGCGAGTGTCGTGCTCATGGCAGCATAGGCAATGTGCACATGTGCCTCTGTAATTATTCAAATGCATACAAGTGTTATGAGGAGCAGTTGAAACACAGTCAGGAGCTCCATGACAGTAGACTGGAAGCCCAGGCATGTGGCAATCTGGGAATTGTAAAAATGAACACAGCCCATTTTGATGAAGCAATTGGATTGTTTGAACAACAGTTAGCCATGTTGGAACAACTGCACGGTAATAAGATACTTGTTGAGAAAGGGAAAGCATTTGGGAATCTTGGAGACTGTTATGAGGCATTGAGTGATTTCGAGGAGTCTGTCAAGTGCCATGAACAATACTTGGCTGTCTCTCAAACAACTAATTCTTTGCTGGATCAAGACAAAGCATACCGAGGCCTGGGTAATGCACACAGGGCTATGGGCAATTTGCAACAAGCTCTTGTTTGTTTTGAGAAAAGGTTGGTTGTTGCCCATGAGATGGACAACAACCAAGCAAAAGCATCAGCCTATGGAGAACTTGGATGCCTGCACAGCTTGCTTGGAAACTTTGAACAAGCAATCTCTTGCTTGGAGCACCAACTGGACATTGCCAGAGATGTTGGTGATAAATTGTGCGAAGGTGAAGCAGCTTGTGGACTTGGAAATGTTTATCAACAGATGGGTGAATATGAAACAGCCCTTGAATACCACCAAATTGACTTGCAGATTGCTGAATCTCTCAATAATTCTGAAGCACAGTGTAAGTTTTTATTTATTAAAAAGAATTTTCATATTTTTTTCCTTTCTTTTGAAATTTAAAAAAATCTTGTGGCTTTTAATATGCATTAACACCAAAAAAGGAAAATTGTTTCCCCTCTCTGTTCATGACGTATGTCAATAAAACTTTATATTCCAGCATTAGAAAATAAAATTAGAGATGAGAATATTCTAAAGGATCTGTAGTTGATATAATATCAGGGAAGACATTCATTACTAAACTACTTGATACAATCTTGTCATGGTCAGATTTCTAATTGTAAAAAATCTTGATCAAGAGCTATGTATAACATCCATTTAAGGATACCATAGAGAATATCAGAAAGTATCAGCTCCCTTCTAAAGATACAACTTGAATAATATTGAGAAGTCATTAATTCAAGATGAAATAATGAGATCAAGTATGACAAAAAAAAGTATAAGTGACTTTTAAGACAACCAGATGCAATATTCACCTGGGGAAGTCAAGTCCAAAGAACATTTCTTTGACTTACACCTCTTATATGTGCCATGTCCCTTCAGGATATTGGTAAGCATGGATCTCCACAATTTCCTGTCCTTTGTAACTCTTAATAAGTTTTGTATTTTTGTTATCTGTCCTAAACCCTGTTTTGCCATCTATTTACACAAATTTGCTAGGTAGGTTATGCATTGTTTTCCTCTGTCCTTGCCTTTCATGTTTTCAAATCAAATTTCCCAAGCCCTCTTTCCTCATAATGTGCCTTAGAAATTAAGTCTCTTGTCAAAAAAATGAATTTATAAGCAAACTGGGTGTAGATTTTAACACTAGTGTTAAAGGTACCTATATCATCTCAATGTATTGCTAATTCTCTGATAGAAAGAATTTCTTTCTAGTATTGTATACAAGTTTTCCTATACAAGACATAAGTACTTAGTACTATGAAAATACAATTTAAGAAAGTCATAGTAACAAGTATTTATATTTTTGTTAAATTGTATTGTTCATATTTAGGAGATTAAACATAGTAACTTTAGACTGTTGGATGCAGAAAGACTAGAGAATATATTGTCTTTAATATTGTATTAAAAAGAACAAAGATGAAGATATTAGTCTACTAAAATGTCAGTGGGGGGAAAAACATTAATGCTTAAAAACAATATACAGGGTGTGATGAATAGATTGTAGTCTATGCAAAAATGAAAATAACACTGACATCTCTTTTGGATGGTCTCCTTGTTTAAATTAGTGAATGCTGCCATAATCTGTGCCTTCAGTTCATCTTTGGTATTCCAAGGAGTTTTGATGATATGCACCCCACATATAATAATGAAAGGGGTTGCAGTCTGGGGAGTTAGGTGGCCAGATGTAAGGGGTAAGGTGGTTGCAGAAATTGTCTGACAGCCATGACTCAGTTCTCCTGCTTGTGTGGCATGGTGCAGAGACCTGTTGTCAGATACAGGGTCTTCCAGCAGCCACCCTCTTGAGCCAGGGCACCACTACCTCTTCAAGGCACTTGATGTTGAGTCTGAGGCCCTCATCAACAAATTTTGGAGTTCTTACCAGAATGAAGAGTGAATTTTGCGAGCTGCCATACTATTAGACTTATCCAACTCTTTCCAAATCCTCTGCGCTGTCCTCAGGTTGACACCCAAACACTCTGAAATGTTCATATTGTAGCTTCCAACACAAATGTCAAGCAGTACAGCATGCTATTTACAAATTTCTGGCAGAGTGAATTGCGTCATTGTGCTCTTTTTCTCACAGTGCTCAACTGACCCCACTATACCATGCAGTTGACAAAAACAATGTGCATGTGTGAAATTAAAAATATAAAATGTTGACAATTTACCCATCGCACCCTGTATACATGTCTTATACATTGAACAAATTATTTTCAAACACCAATGATTTATTTATTAAAAATAGTTAAGAGTAGATAAGAATAATAGTATCAAGAAATTGATGTTGAACTCAAATTAAAATTAGCAAAAGAAATGAATGAATATGAGGGAGCAATTTATGTTCAAAATGTCACAGAGATATAAGGAAATTTAAAGAGAATAAAAAGAAAGTAAGATTAAGGATTGAATGTAAATAACAATAATAACAATTGAACACTGAGAAGCTTCTATATTATATAGGTTAATGTTTATGCATATTACACACAATAGAGAAACATTTTTATTACTGTTATTCTGTACTAAATTCATCCTCTACTTTTTTTTTTTTTTTTTTTTGGTTTAGGTGTTCTTCTACATTATGCCAAAACAAAAATTATTTATCCTAGTTTTATATGTAACAATAAAACAATAGAATTGGAGTGTAACAATAGAAGAATAAAATGTTTATTTACATACACAAAAAAAAGGTAAAGGGATATACACAAAATATGAGAGAAAGGAAAAGAAAATTCCTTTAACTTAAAGAAAGGAAAAGTGTTCATATAAAGGCTTGCTCAAAAATATTTATCTGAGCACTTAAGTTTTTTAAGCAACTAAATCGTTCTTAAGGGGTTAACAGTCACATAGATTTCTTCAGAGCTCTTGTTGAGGGGGGGGAAACAGTTGGAACATCTGTAGTTAGTAGTTGAGTGAATCCGTAGGCCGACAACAAGAATTTCAAGATCCTAGGAAGCAGGTCCTCGAGTAGTTTTAGTAAATGGCCGATATTTTGTCTTTAGAGCCCAGCATGTAGATTTCTTCCTTGTAGCAGGTTCTGGAGGTGACTGGTTTTGCTGTTGCCGACCTGATGCTATTACAGACTGTTAAATACTCACTGCCAAATGGGCACATATTCCCAGTATTTATCAAGATTAGAAGACTCAGAAATATTGGGAACTTTCCCTCCAAAATTGCTTGTACACTTTCCTGGCCCTCCTCAGAAAATATATTATCTCTGATAAGAATCAAAGGTTTGGGAATTGGTTTTAGAAGCAAGGGTCTGAGACGTTGCGAGCATTAGCACTCTCCCTTCCGACTTTATGGCACCATGGTCAAGACATGGATGGTCAAATTTCTTTTTATATTTTTCCTGCTCTTTGTTCATCTGAAAATATATTCTTATCTTTGATATGAACAAGGTTTTGGAAGCCAGTTTTGAAAGCAGGGGTGAAATTTGGGGCAAAGATCAGAAAGAGGCTAGAATGTGAACTTGTAAAACATTGTAGTAGTGTTTCTCAAATTATTCTCAAATAAATAAAACCATCAATGAAAATGGCCAAAAGAATAACTGAAAACACTTGGGTATGCAGAACATTTGGACAATTTTTACACATTTTATGTCCAGAAAAGAAAACACTTATATGAACATAAGAAAAATTAAATAAAAAGCTTAATTGTCAGTTATCTTTAATCATACATACACACACACACACACACACACATGTGTGCATGTTTTACTTGGTTTTGTAAGCAGCATATAATCTTCTTTGTATAGATGATTAAAATCAAACATCAGATAACATTCAGTTATCAATTTGTGGTATATGAATATCCTGAGCCCCCAGTCTGCATGAATTTTCAATATATTCAGAAAGATTAATTCAACATTTCTCTAGAGTTAACTGTATTGAGTGTCTTTTAATTTACCTTGTCTTAAGGCTAGAGTATGAAAATGCTATCAACATATCTTAACCAGGATGTTGACCATGGTTGTATTGTTCTTAAGGTCATTTCCTCAAATTATTACTTGTATATGTTACCTATCTCAGGAGACAATAACAGTTCTCTAACCATGTCTTCTTCCTGCTGATATCTTTCTGATTGGAAGTGTTTCATTTGAACACAAAATGTTAGTATTTTTTATTAGAATGTATGTTTGAATACTGATATGTTCGCCAAATGTTTAGTTACCTATTAGAACATTGGTGAACAAGCTCATATTAATGCACAGCATTTGGGTGTATTAAATGGGAACATTTTTAACTATTTCTACAATGGTGTATCAGTTCTTCACATCAGATAAAAACTTATCAGTGAACGGATTACATGTACTTGTAATCTGATCAATGGCTGGCATGCTAACACTTGGCAACTGACAACAGGTCTTAGAAATCTTCTTTATGGCTTTTGGGGAGACTACATAATGTGGTTGCTTACTATGATGTTAGTCCTATTTGTTGTTGAAGTGATTGCTATGAATATTTAAAATCTGGGATGGTTTTCTTTCCATGCTGAATCCTTTAATTTGCATTACCTACCATGCTCTACTAGTCTTGCCAGTCTAAGTAATCTGATTTGTCCATTGCAGATGTCTTATTACTTTTGTCTTCTAGTATGATGATGTTTGTATCACTTTGTAGGCTACCTGAAAGATTGTAGTGTGCAGTAGCCAAAACAAGAAAGCAATGAAAGACAAGAGAATGAGTTCAAACAAAGCAATGCAATGAGTATAGAATAACTATGACTGTTCGCTTTAATTGACAATTTTTTTTCTCTTAGCTAAAGTTAGTTTCATCAGTTTATTGGAATAAAATTTTGATAGTAAGGTCTTCAATCATGTATTCTACCAATAAAATATAATTGCATGCTCCTGTTTGATATTGTGTGTTTGATAAGTGTGTGTGTGTATATATATATATATATATATATATATATACACTATCCATAAATTATAAGAAAATTGAAAAAAAAAAACTTTTTTAAATTTTGTTCTCAGATCACAGTGTACATGTAAGTGAACTGCAGATATACTTTTAAAGTGTTTTATTCTATGAATAATAGTAAAATTAGTTCACTTCTGGTGTACAACAACTATAAAAGCACTTGTAAAGTTGATACTTTTCTGCAGTTTTTAATGTTGAAGAACTCTCTAAAAATGTTAAAAAGAAAATATTCTTACTTGAAGCAAATATGAGTTGTGATAGTACGCCAAGATTCCATTGAATGTTGCAAAATTATCTTCTACAAAATTTAGGAAAAACACTATGATACTCATCTTTTTGAATAATCCTGATGCTTAATGTGAAGCATAGAAACAATCTGGCAAGAAAATGACGGGAAGTGCCAAAAAAGGGTTGTTTGTAGTGGTGAAGGAATTATAGTTTGGGTTGGGTTTTATTGGTTATGGCCTGTCTTGTCTGGTTCTTGTTAAAAGAAACTTTGACAGTACAAAGAAATGCTACAGCACAGCTTGATCCCAAAGCTGCCATTAAATAGAAGAGAAAAGAAAAAGTTGATCTTTCAGCAATGCAATGCAAATTGCTATTCAACAAAGTCAAATGTTTCATACTACAGTAATCACTTTTTATTTGTAATTAAGTGGTCTGCCTGGTCTCTAATCTTCAGTCCTTTAGATAACGTTTTGGGAATGTTGGCAAGAGAAGTGTACACTGACAAAACCCAATATTTCACTCGTGAAAGTGAAAACCTGCTATATATGCTCTCTGAATTGGTGAACTTGGTAACAAATCATGACATTCAGGATTTGAAGGTTGAAAGTGCAGCCATAAAGTATTAACTTTTTGCTAAATAATATTTTGTTAAAAACTACTGATGCTGTACTGTTTTTATAATTACTGGACTTCATTTGATTTAAAAAAAAAAAAAAGCATGGGGTCTTCTAAAATGAAGAATAAAAATTAAAATTTACAACCATACAAGATATACTTAAAAATAACTTGCTTTTAAATTCCATGAAAAGAAAAAGTTTCCTTTTTATAGTGTTTTTATGAGTGTGTGAGTGTGTGTGTGTGTGTGTGTGTGTGTGTGTGACACCAGGTACACAGTGGTATTGAAAACATTTTTTCTTTGGCAATGCAATAAAAATAAAAGATCTGTATTAAATAAAACCAGAATTAAATGTGACACTAGAAGAATGCCATAAGCTGGTATTCTTTATTTGTTGCCCACTCCTTATTAGAAAAATTCTAACCACTACATCTAAGACTATTTACTGGATAATGTGTTAAACTCTTCAGAAAGCCAATGTTATTTGGGTTATGTTGATTTTTCTTTATGTTGCCATTCTTAATAATTGATAACACTGCTCATTCTTTTCCTCTTGAAATAATAGCTGTCAAAGACTACTTCAATACAACTTTAAATATTACTTACAATTGGCAAGAATAATAAAAAATGTCACCATTTTAACTATTGTCTCCGAGGAAAGTCTTAACATTATACTTCTATGGCAGTGATGAAAAAGTCATATACCTTCTCTTTTGGAAATGTTAAAAAAAGATAATTTTTTTTTTTTATTTTTTTTTTTTTTTTTTTTTTTTTTTGCTTAAAACTGACTGCTGCATGCATGTTATTATATCGGCAATAAGCACAGAATGATTGGATTTATTCCAAGCATATATCATTTTGAACTTCAGTGATGTAATTTTTATACTGTGCCCTCATAAATTTGTATATCTGGAACATGCTTTTCTCATATTTCAATGAATTGAAACAAGAAAAATGTTTTAACTAATGCTTTTCTCTTTTAGGTCGAGCTTATGGAAACTTTGGTTTGTCACATGAATCTCTCGGGAACCATGAAGAAGCTGTGCGTTACCAAGAACAACATCTCAGTATGGCAGCCCAATTACAAGATAAAGTAGCCAAAACAATGGCTTTCAGCAGTTTAGGTTGGATTTCATTATTTTCTTTAATTTGCATTCCTGATTTATGAAACTCAAATGTCAACTACAAGTACTTTTAGTACATTATGAAAATAGCTGTCATTTTTTGTTGCCATTGAAAAATCATTTATCTTAAGATTTTATGACTTTTGCATTTTTAAAAAAAAAGTCTTAGCTATTGTAAGATTTCTTTGATCATTGATTATAAATCCAAATGTATTTTTAATTTTTGGCAAATTTGTCAATATGGTAAAAACTGAAACACAAAATTGATAAACAAAGTTTCATCATTGAAATAGTTTGCTTTTTTAAATGACATTCCTAAAAGTAAATTATCTTTGGTAGAAATTTAAGCAAAGATAGGTATATTTTTATAATTCCTTTCTGTAAATCTATTTCTCTGTAAGTATTTATGTATGTATGTATATATACAGAATCCCCTGAAACAATTTACTTGTGAAATTCCAGTTCATGCTCAAACTCTTTAGTCCTACCTATCCTTAATAAGAATGGTAGTTTGTTTACACACACACTATATATATAGTGTGTGTGTGTATATAAACTAATATATAATGGACAAGTTTTGACTCAATTTCTTTATTAAATTTTTAAAATTTACGAATAAGTTGTTTCATAGGTAAATTTGCTAAAATTAACTTGTCATTTGTCAAAGTTTACTGCAGTTCATGCACATATTGATGAACATATGACAAACAAAATAATATTAACATTAGACAAATTTTAGTTGATAACACCGAAATTATCTACAGGACACAGTGCAAAGAAAGACTCAAAATTCTGGTAGTTGTTGTAATAAAACAAAAGAGGCCTACATTGAATAAAAACACACTCATAAAAATTTCACTTTGACTGTTTAATTGATGTCACCTTGAGTAACTTGAAATTAATTCCACCAAATGTGAGAATGCCAGAATTAAAAACCATTTGCATAACTATCTATAATATTTTATATAAACTAGTTTTTTCATTAATTTCTGTGGATTCCCGTTGAATCAAACTTTAGCCATAAGATGTAGGTCAGCTCATTGTGTTCAACTTCTCTCATCCCACCCACTCCTACTTCCATAATATAGTACCCCATATTACTTCCTGTAACTATGCCATCTTCTGTCATTTCTTCCTCTCTGTCCCCTCTGACATTTTCTCTCTTTCTTTCTCCAACTAACCATTCCCCTTCTACGAACTGACACCATAAACAGTTTGAAAAATCCTGCAAATTTAAAATTCATGAGTGAAAATGATCATTAACTAATGGTATCTTAATTTCAATTGTACGGAAAATTTTGTTCTGTTTAATAAAAATAAGCATTGAGTGTATTAGTCAGTTTTAACATTTAATATTTAAAATTCTATATTGTGTTAATAGGACTCACTTGGATTATACCAACAGATTACTACCTCTGTCTCTCTGTGTGTGTGTATATATATATATATATATATATATATAAAATTTTGGCAGCATGTTTTCATTAAGACATGTCTCATTAAATAATTTTGACCAATTTTGTCTATTGGTTTTTAATAGGATCCTCTCATGATTATGGACAAGTTTCTTAGTATCCTTATTTAAGGAAGGAAGAAAGAAAATTACCATATTCATTTTATACAGAGTACTTTCAACATTAGCATAATGTCATCATAAGGGTCATGTTTTTTCCAGGACAAAAAATTGTGTTCATCTGAAAATTAAACTTATAGGTGAAGTGGAAAACACTAAAGTTATGTACTGTGCAATTTTTAAATTTTATCATGTAGACCTGCATACAAACGTCCAAGGAGATAACTAAATTATTGAAATGTCTAAATCTTTTTTAAAAAAAGAAAAAATAGCCTATAACTATTAGTTAAAACCTAGATATTTTAAACTATGTACACTGTAAACATTTTAAAACATTTGTGCAGTATTCATAATTAATTTTATTAAGGGTTGGTCTCAATTTTTTAATAAAGATAGCTTCAAGTAAATTTAGTTTGTTTATTATTTTCATGAAATTTATGAAAATTCTTGTTGAAAATACATCTATAGTTATATGTATATAAACTCTATTCAAGCACACACAGGATGAATTATGTCAGTTAATTTTTTTTTTATTTTGTTGCTTAAAACAATTGGTTTCAGCATCTGTTAACTGTGTTATTTTTCTGTTGGCGTGTAGCCTAAGAATAGAAAAATTGGGGATTCCCTAGAGATTAAATAACCTTGTTGGTATGAGTCACAGCAGTGTGTGGAGGACAAAATGAAGATGAGCAAATTTTCTTGTTTAATAGTTACTGTAGGAAAAATGTTAATATTCTTTTGACACTGAATGTATTAAAGAAAATTGAAAGTTTAATATAGGTAAGGTTTTTCTTAAATTTATTCATTGAAAAGTTTTTAAATGCTTATTTTGGTTGTCAAAGTAAAAGAATAAATGCAAATGACATTAAAACTATTGTTGAACTTTAAGGACTGGAGTCTGGCTGTGGGTTCAAATCCTACAAGTAACATTGTATTTGTTTGTATTGATTTATAAGCATTGGGATTAAAAAAAAATTGTTTTGACTTCTACCCAGACTAGTGATGGCTTTACTGGGCTGATTCATTATATAGCTTGATCTTGGATTAATTCTTTTATATTAAGTGATATAAATTTATCTGTAAGTGCAGAAGATTTAAGATTTGAAAGTAAGATCTAAATTTCTTAACTAATAAAATATTTTACTTTGGATTATCTACTCTATTTTATTAATATTTTCTTTAAAGTAAACAATTTTTAATGATTTCTTTAAAAAACATAAAATGAAAAATTATAATTATGTACATAATTTATTTGTTTAACAAAGTAATTTTACCAAAGATTATTTATGCTTCCAATTAGTAGTGCTTATACATTTAGTACTTCAAATCCATAGACATTTTAATCAGTCATTCACTGTCAAAGTTCTTGTTTGATCTTTAATCTTACTAAACAAATAATCTCTTTTTATTTGCAAGGTCGTGTTCACCATGCACTAGGCAACTATACACAGGCTGTCCAGTATTTACAGCAAGGCCTACAAATAGCAGAGCAACTTGGAAGGCGGGAAGATGAAGCAAAAATCCGTTATCGTTTGGGGCTATCTCTGTGGGGTCGAGGGCAACTGGATGAGTGCCAGCAGCAGCTCTACCAGGCTGCTGATTTGTTTGAAACAATTCGCAGGGAATCTCAGAATAGCAGTGACTATAAACTATCATTGTTTGACTTGCAGACTGCTTGTTATCAGGCTCTTCAGGTGAGTTTGATTCAACGATTCCCTACGCCCCCCTCCCCCAAAGCAGATTTTCATCTGGAAGATGTGTCTGTCTTTCTTTTTCTTTTAACATGCATCCAGGAATAAAAATGAAAAATATGTATTCTTGTTCTATATATACTTCAATCGATACTAAAGGCTTACTGCCATATAGTGTTGAAACATTGGTTCCCATATGATCACTGAAGTTAAGTAATGTAGAGCCTGGCCAGTAACTAGATGGGTGACTACTTGGGAATACCAGGTGCTGTAAGCTTGGATGTATAGGTGGTGTAATGGATAATGGCTTGGAATTGTTAATTGGAGAGCAGTTGCAACTTCAGTTGGCTTTGTTATATTCACTTACACTCAAATACCCTTGGGAAAAGGTATAAATCCACTTCTTCTCCTCCCAACTATGGGTTAATTAGTAAGATGTATCACTGAATCTTTATCTCCAAAAAAAAATTCTTACAATCTAAAAGTATTTCCTGGCTTTAAATAAGCTGCAGTTATTTAAAGTGTTGATAAGCTGTTGAAAACAAATCAATAAAAAAAACATACTAAAGTTTTTCCTTTTTTAATATGGAATATTATTTTCAACAAGTTTTAAGAAATTCTTGAAATTAATTAAATTACTAGCTTTCACTGACAAGATATAAAAGTTTCTTTTAAAAATACTATCAATGTTATTATAATATACTTTTAGTTTATTTAAATTGATGGATAATTACTTCATTTACTTACTAAATGTAAGTAAATGTTGGCAAATATGTTTTTCATTTTTATAATTAGCATTGTGCATAGACTTTTTTTTTTTTTTTTTCTTAAAGTAATGCAGTAATTTAAAACTCCCACTACTCCTATAGTATATTATAGCCTATAAAGTCATCTAGTGTAGTCCCTTGTAAGAAAAAAAACAAAAACAAAAAAAAAACTGTTTTCCCTTTTTATATCATTTTTCATAAATCTCTTCATTTGATGGTCAAAATTTAGTAAAATTTGGTGTTTTTCTTGTTTTGACAGTTGAAATTGTTAAAGAAACATTAACCATCTATTTTTTTTTTTTTTTGAAATTTATTTTTAAGCGTGTGCTGGTAACTGTAGATAGTCATGAAGAAGCTCTGGTAGTGGCTGAAAGGGCTTGTACTCGTGCCTTTATTGACTTGTTATTGGAACGTCAGTCTGGTGTATTACCTGGCTTGCTGGGAGAGAGGAGGCATGATCTGCAGCCCATTACCCTGGACCAAGTACTTGGAATTGTTAGCCAACAGAAAAATATTGTTCTATCTTATTCTATTGCTGCTGGCTTTCTCTATACTTGGCTCATCACACCAAAAGATGGTAAGTATATTCCAAATTGTATTTTTCATTTTTTTTATATTTCTAGTAAATTTGAGAAATATAATATTTATTATGATATTATACTTGAGGATTGTTCGATGGCATAAATGTTATTGGTATAGAAAATGCAATTTGAATTCTGACTGAAGCTGATTAGATTCACTTTAAATTTTACTTTGAATAGGCAATAGCAGCTGAAAGTTGTTACCTTTATAGCCAACCTTGGACAGATTTAGTCAATTATAGTGGAGAATGATTCTTGGGGTCAGGGGTATCAGTATATCAGCTGTTTGGATCATTGTCCAACACAAATTTTGGTAGCCAATCACCTGAAATGAGACTATACTGAAGAAATGATTAAATGAAAAATATCATCTAATCAATGTTTAATTATTGTAATTAATTGTAATGAAACTTATGTAAATATAGATTCATTCTTTTTTATATTGGAGATGAGTGATATACACTTAGAGACACAAGATGTTCAGTCGTACCATAAGTTCATATGTTCACCTATATACTGGCATGTCTTGATTTAGAAGGATCAACAATGTCAAGAAAAACAAATTGAATATCGATATAAATTAAAGGTATGTGTTGTTGAACATTACAAAATTCATTCATTCACCTATGAGTTTAGTATACAGACAGAAAGTGTAGGTATGTGTATCAACAGTTAGTTCATGCTGATAGTTTCAAATAGTTACCTCCACAAAATCTCTAAAACATCAGCATACAGTGATGAAAACTCCAAACATAATGGAAACAGTTTTATCATTAAAATCTTTATTATTAAGAACATTTGAAATTTTGATTAAAGTTTTGTTTTTCTTGAGTCAGCAGTTTTACTAACTTTTAGCATAGCAAATTTTAGCCTCTTTTTGTGGTGATACACATTAATTTAGAATTTCTTGCAAAAATCAAATAATTGTCAGATTTTAATGAAATTTTCCTGACTTATTCACAGATGAATGAATTTTTTTTTTAAAAAATCTTGGTAAAATTTTTTTTACATGTGTTTCACCCCCTTACTTAATTTTATGAAAATTTGAGAAATTCAACATCATAACTTTTAGTGATTATACTAGTTAAAAGCAGAGTTCTTTTGAAGAATCAAACCACCAAATTTATTTTGCAAAATTGGACCCTATCTTACTGAAAATCTGTTTTGAATTGAAAAATAAAAAACACAATATAACTAAGACATTATTTAATTAGGAGTTTTTAATTGCTTTTATGAATAATATATATTAAAGACAATATTGTCTGGAAAAAAATTTTTTTTTTTGATGAAAAATGAATTTATACAAGGTTTTTTTGATGAAAAATGAATTTATACAAGGTTTTTTTTGTTTTTTTTTTTAAATTGAATAATTTTAATCTTTTAAAATTCATCTTCAAAATGATAACTCTTAGGAAATATTGTTATTAAGTAAAACTATATTTACTAATCAAATTTTGTAAAGCTTATTACAATATGATGACCCTGAATATTTTTTCAAAGAATTTCAATTTGTTTTTATATGTGTATATACATGCAGAATTTCTAAGTATGTATGTACAAACCTAGCATTATTGTTAAAAGGTAATGTGTTTTAAGGGTTGTCCCCTGCTTACAGAAAAACTCTCATATGAACTTTATCATCTGCTCCACCATGTGGTCATTTGATTAACACATCAGAAAAACAAGAGTCTGTGGTTAAGAAATGCTTGTATACAACATTTTATGCTATAAGTAAGTTATCTGTTTTGAATCAGATATATTTAACTTTAAATTTGCTAATTTTCCTCAAATAATGTTTCAGAAATATATATTTTATTTTTGCAAGATTTTTAAAATGAGAATTAACTTTTGTTCACAAATCTGTCAAACTGGCCATTTTCATTGATTTTACTGAAAAAAAAATTGATTCTGATCAATATAATTTCTGTTTTGAAATACACCACAGATTATTTTGCTTACTGGAAATAGTAAATTTTAAATCCTTTAGCTTTCAATGAAAGCGTCAAGAAAGGTTTTTCATTTTTAAAAATTAATTTTAAACCTTACATACACCAAATTAGTGGAGGTACCTAGTTTTAAACTATCAGATTTTTATGATTTTGTATCTCATTTTTGAAATGTGTAATTATAATTTAAAAAAAGTTATAATATTATTTGAACTATTGTTCTCATGTTGGTTATTATAGATGTCATATTTTGGCCAAATATTCTCTGGCCATCATCAGGTGTCCATTGGTTTGGCTGATATGGGATATCTTTTAATTGTGTTACTTTGTCCCTGTGATGCCAGTTATTTTTTTATTCATGTTGAACCAGAAATTGAACTGATGACAATAACATGTTTAACCAACTCCTACATTCATTTTGTAACCATCCAGGTGGACATCAATGATACATTTCTAGTGACTTTATATTCAATATCAATATATTTCAATATTTGATTATCATGATGGGTTTGTGCCACTTTTTGTTGAATTTGTATTTCATTTCTGAGATGAGTAGTTGTCAATATACTCTAATTTATTCAAACTATTGTTCTCATCTTTGTTATATAGATGTTATTTATAGACACATTTCTTTTCTTATGACTCCTGCATAGTTGCGAAAGCTGTGTTGTATGAAAAAATATTGGTTTTATACTAAAATAAAGAATATCGCTAATGAATTTGACCTTGCTCACTTAGTATTTTCCTGTTTTTATTTTTTTATTTTTTTTTTCTTGTTGTTGCTATTTTCAGTTGACTGACTTTTTGTCCTTCTTTCTCTTTTCCTTAAATAGTCTATCTCCACTTTTATAATCAACAACAAAAGATTTTTCCTCTTATATTTTTTCATTGGCCATAACAAACTAGATTCTTTTTATATAGTGATGGTGGTAGTTTCTATGCTTGGTTTTATCATCTCAAAAATGTGTAGCATGACTGAGCATTTCCTTCTATTGATAATATGCAAAAATTCTTTGTATTGATCTGTTACTTTTTTTGTGCTCTTTGATTGGTTTAAACTGTATCTGACCAATGCCAACTAAATGACCTTTAGTTATCCCATTAGTAACCAAGACTGGTAAAATACACAAGCACTGAAGCATAAAAATGTACTACAAGTATGTGTGAAGTGTTTTTGATACATTCTTAGCTCTTGCCTGCCTTTTATTTACATTTGTGACTGTTATTTTATACTTTACATCAAAAGTTGGAAAATTATGGCTGGTGAGTCAAAGCTGGCTTGCAGACCAAATGGAAGATACTATTATTCTGAAATAATAATTTTTATATTATTTTACTTTAATAATATGCATAAAATTAAAAAAAAATGTCCTTTGTTTATGTATTATTGAGGTCTTCTCATCAGATCTATTGGTTCAAAGCAAAAGTTTGTAGCATTTTTTAAGTGATTTTGAAAGACAACATTTACATTGATTTATTCAACCACATATGTGCCATTTTGTTCCACGACCTTTTGCCATCTTTGAGGCAGCTTCATGATTCCATCCTCCCAAAATGTGCCATCTATCTAGGTAATGAATTGGTCTAAGTGGTTTTTATAGGCTTCTAGAGAATTGAAGTTTTTTCCATTAAGAGAATTTTGTTGGGATTGAAATAAGTAGTACTTTGATGGTTCAAGGTCAGGTGAGCACAGCAGGTGTAGTAAGACACTCCAGCCAACCTGTAATAATTTTCCCAGGTCTGCAAAGAAGCATGATGTCTGGCATTGTCCTGATATATGACACCATTCTGACTGACCAATTGTATTCTTTTCATTGATTGTTGCCTTTTAATTGGTCCAATTAGAAACAGTATGCGTCTAAATTCAATGTAGAAAGTTTGTAATGCAAAATCTAATTCTAATCCTGTCACACACATACAGCATCACCTTCTTTGTATGCAGTTCAGTTTTTGAAGTAGTTAATGGTAGCTCATTTAATTTTCCCCAGAAACTTTTTCCATCTGCATTATTGTAAAAAAAAAAAAAAATCCATTTGAATCACCTGTGATTGTTCTTTTCAAAAATGTATCATTTTTTAATGCATTTAAGCAGACAATTGTAGATAGAAATGCAGTCTATTAAATTTTTTCCTTTAATTCATGAAGCAATAAAGCATTATAGTAATCCACATATCCAAATATTTTCAAATGTCTTACAATATTCATAACAGATATATGGCCCATATTATGTGACCAGAATTATTTTTAATAAGCATTTCAATTTGGTCATCATTAATGGCTGCAGGCTTGCTGGAACTTTCTTGATCTTCCAGAACAAAATTTCTACTTTTGAACTTAGTTAAGCAATAAATAAATTATTCTCTTCTACAATGGCCCAAATTATCCTTGAAGATTTATGGAGTGCTATACACTGTATATAAACTACTGTTTGAATTTCTTTGCTTTGGTTTATACGTTTTAAAACACCACAAATACTAGAATTATTAATAAAAATCCTTTCCTATCCTTTTTAGGTATTGTGAAATTTCATCAGTGCAATATGGCAGAGTTTGAATCAAATTCAAGTGATGCAATTGATACCCAAAGTCTAGCAGGATCCACAGTTTCTTTATTGGACCAATATGTTGGAGATGTTCGTGAATCTATGGGTGTAGAAGGGCATGACCCCAGTAATGGGCAAACAAAGTAAGTATGACATTTTTATATGTCCTCTAATCTTATGCAATTTATTCACACAAAATCTTCATATATTTTTTCTTTTCATGAGATTTTATATATTTTATTTTTCTCAATGTTAATGGCTCTTATCATTTCAGACTGTCAAGATCATGTTCTCGTTCCACTCTTCATGGAAGCGTGGGAGGTGGAAGTGGTGCTGGTAGCAGCTCAGTGGGTAGTTTGGACACTCTTGACACAGATGACTCTTGGCAGCAGCAACTTGAAGAAATTGGAGACAAACTGAATGCAGAGAATGACCGTACTGGTTTCTTGCGCATGGTTAATCGTAATCACATCTTCAACTGTAGCAATTACAGTTTATCTAGTCTCTTTAGCCTTTCTGCTGGCCTGAATGGCATCAACCCTTCCATTACAAACATGCGTAATGCCATGAAAAGCAAACAGCGAGACAAGTCACCCATTGCTGCACTTTATGAATTGCTTGTGGCACCTATGGAAGAATCTTTGCAAGCAGTAATGGATGGTACAGAAAACAGAAATTTGGTTTGTATTTCTTTATCTTGTTTTTGTTTAATGTTTAAATATTTTAAGAGGAAAAAAATTGTGATCTCTCTAGATTATCTGCATGTGATTTTTTTCTTTTTTTTTTTTCTTTTTTTTTTTAATTTGTTATAAAATGACACACTAAGATTCAAATTAATTGTTTGGGATATTTTTGTCATGTCATATTGATGAAATATCTCTGCAGCAGCTCTGGGGGAGCCATTATTTTCACAGTCTTCATCATTATCTACAAATTGGTACAAGCTCATTTCTTGAAACCATTTATGTACTTTGGATAATTTTGAATGTCTTATTTCTTATATACTACAGTGAAATGTTTATCACACATTCTCAGGATAGACTTAATCTTATTATGACAGTTTTAAATATCTAATTTATAAAACTTGTACTAATTCATGGGATGTATAATTAACATAGAAGGACAGTTAAAACATATGGCCACTTAACTCATTTTACTCTTCTACTCTTTTTATGCATGTTAGATAGTAGGGACATAATGTTATCAATGGAGGTAGTTGTAGAGTAGTGACCCACTTAATAAAGATGAAATAATTTTTTAAATTTGACATTTTTCTAGTACAGTAATGTCAAATTTATATTAAATTCATATGAAAAATATTAAATTCAAAATAGTTGTGCATTCAGCCTTATTTTAGGGTATTTCTTTTTTTAAAAATGATCTTATGAAAATTTAAAATTTCTTTTTAGGTTTTGGTTCTTCAAGGTGATCTGTATTTGGTTCCTTTTGCAATGCTGAGGCCAACTGAGTCAAATCATTATTTGTTTGAGAGGTACAACTTGATCATCATGCCATCAATCACTGCCCTCCAACCAGACAACCATCACTCACGAACTGGTCGACCAACCATTGACTCCTCAGGAGCAGTTGTCATTGGGAATCCAAAATTAACACCAGCCATACAGCAACAATGGCAACTGAAAGACATTCCTGGTTCTGAGTATGAAGCAAGAATTGTAGCAGAACTACTAACAGCAAAGCCTCTCATTGGTCAAGAAGCCACTAAAACAGCTATTTTACAACAGCTGGAACATGTTGAAGTTATTCATATTTCAGCTCACATTTCCTGGAAACTTTCAGCTATAATCCTTTCTCCAGGTGAACTGGGAACATCTTCATCTACATCCCAGTTCAATCATGCTTATGATTTGGATGATAGCAGCAGTGATGTTGGTTCTCTTGATACTCCATCCCTTTCAGAATATCTCCTCACAGCAGCTGATATTTTGAATCTAAAACTCCGTGCTAAGCTTGTTGTTTTGAACTCTGGCCACACCCATGACCGTGCTGGGCGTATAAACTCTGATGGGGTTGTTGGCTTGACACGAGCCCTACTCTCAGTTGGAGCTGGCTGTGTGCTGTATTCATTATGGCAAGTTCCTGACCAGGCATCAAAATTGCTCATGAAGACTATGTATGTAGCCTTGCAGGAGAGTCATACAGTAACTCAAGCTTTGCATTTGGCTATTAAAGCTGTTCAGGCAGTTAAGCAATTCTCTCATCCTAGCAACTGGGGTGGATGGGTATTGGTTGGCAAAGATATCATGCTTAGCAGCAAAATGGCTCTTATGGGTCATGCAATTTGTGAATTACTCCAGTCACCATCTCAGTGCAGAGATTCAATGCGAGTGCTTTTACATCTTGTAAGTATGCCTTTTGTATCTTGTAATATTTCATATTTAAAAGCAATCTCTTCTAAAAGCAATTTTTTTCTTACACATAGAACTGATATCTTTTTGCAAAAATGCTTTGTTGTTTAGGTTAGTTTAATATTTTTGCTATGGCCATGTTAAGTCTAATTTATATTGTGCTCAAAATTAACTTTTTTAATTAGGCTCATAGTTTATTCCAGGTACTGAAAGGAATGAAAACATAGATTTTAACCACTTGATGCATATCTTAATTAGGTTATTTTATATAGTTTTATTTCTTTCATGTTTACTTTTTTGTTTTGTATTTCATTTTCTTTAAGTAGATAAATTTTGCTTTTGACTGCTTCAAGTTTTGTCCTTTAAATGTCACAAGTATTATGATTCTTTTAACACTGAATAATACTCAAACCACTAGTACATTGATTAGAATGGATTGTCTTGCTTTGTTTCCTGAAATTATTTTCATTATCTTAGAGAATAAAATTATAGAGATTGTATCAGTGAGGCTGAAAAGTTTTTGGCAGCTTAATTTTAATTTCTTTATAAAATGAAAGACTTCATTAAAGATTTGTTGCATGAAGTAAATGATTTTATTGAATTATCTTTAACTATATATAATTTTAAATTACTAATTTTTTGTATTAATTTCACCCACCTCTAACATCCATTTTTTTGTCTTTTGTGATATGATGGATCAGTTTACATTTTTTATAGTCCATGTTGATTTATGCAAACAAACAAATGAATTGCTAAACAATGTTTTAAAGACTTTATAATCTTTTTAATATTATTAAAGAAATATTTTTATACTAGTAAACTAAGCAAGCCATCTTCATTTTGAACTTACAAATTGCTATCTAAATTATGGAGTTCTGTATTTTTTTATATCTTCAATTTATTGTTACTTTGATATGATTTTTGTATGAAAGATATTTCTTTAATTAATATTTATTAGCAATATGGTTTACTGGGTTTGAATTGCTTAAATCTTGAACATGACATTAATATTGAAGTTTTTAAATTTATATGCTTATAAAATATATTTATATATATGATAAATCTTGCCTACCAGTGATTAATAAAGCTAATAATTTTATCTAAATTGTCTTTTTTAGATTGAGAAGTCTCTTCAAAGAATTCATCAAGGTGCCAAGAACCCAATGTATACAATGTTTCAGAGCATTGAAAACAAGGTTGGCCAGATCAGTGGGTGGAAAGATTTGCTGCATTCAGTGGGTTTTCGCTTTGAGCCAGCAGCCAATGGAATGCCAGTGGCAGTATTCTTCCCACAAACAGATCCTGGAGATAGACTTACCAGAGCTAGTGCAAGTCTCCAAGCTTTACTTGGTAAGTTGGGTTAATGAGATTATAAAATTTCATTTTCACCACAAAAGAATTAAGAGCATTTAAATATCAGATTTTCTCCACAAAGAATTTTCAGGGTATTAAAAATAAACTACTTGTATTAGATAATCTCTATACAGAAACTAAGAGTAAAAAAACATTATTTATGCTCATAGAATATGTACATACCTCTCTCTTTCCTGCCTTGTCAGTGAAGTTTAGAATATGCTGACTGCATCACTTGAAGAGGGGTAAATTTTCCTCCCTAAGAAGCCATCTGTTGGCTGTGGATGTCTGAACAGTCATGATCCTAGATATTGAGTGGATATATGAACTACAACATTTTAGTTTAGCCCTAATTTGAAAAGGCCTGAATTGATCAATTTGTTACTCACACCAAGCTGTAACTCTTAAATATACACACACACTTTAAACTACTTGGACATTCCCAATCCAAATACCACTCGGATTAACACCAGACCTATTTCCCAAATAGGAGTTGACATGCCGTTAAATCCAACATCCATCCATCCATCCAGACCTATTTCCATATATAATATTTAGAATGCAGTGACCGAAGGTCAATTGGTTTGAAAGACTAAACTTTCAACATAGCTTTAAAACACCTGACATTACACTAAGACTTTTGTAAAATAGCTAATAGTTTACAGGTTCTCAGAATTTTCTTCAAATATGAGTACATTGTCTGTGTATTCTTGTTTCCTAATTTTGAGTTCTGAAGTAGGTGGGGAGCACAGACAGTGAAGAAAATTAAAAAAAAATAAACATAAAGTGGCATATAATAAATCACCCAAGAGACAACATATTGAAACAGATTTGGATAATGAGTTTGAATGGAGCTTGCTTAAATTTCTGGTGCTTGAATCAGTTGGGGGACATTCTACTGTCAAGTCAAGATTATCACCATTCATAATTGAAAAACTATATCCTCTAGCTTGATCCCCAAAGAAAGTGAAAAAAAAAAACAAAGAGAATTTTCTAGTTGAAGTAAAAAAAAAAGCAAGCAAGCATTGTTGAGGATGGACATATTTCACAACATAAAAATATATTCCCTCAAAACATTAAACACTAGCAAGGATGTAGTAAGAAGCCCTGAACTATTACTTTGTGTACTTGTTGAGATAAAAACTAACCTCAAAAGTCCAGGAGTTATAGACTTTAGAAGAATAAACATAAAAAAAGGAAACCAAACAAATTCAAATAAAAATGTACTTTGTTACCTTCAACACTAATTTCCAAATAACAAAAATCAAAATCAGTTCAACCTTTGAGAATGTAGTCCAGTACATACCCTCCCCTTTAAGATGCTACAAATGTCAGAGATACAGGCATCATGTAGCCAAATTTACGGGAGTAATAACATGTAAGACATGAGAACAGAATGACTCTGAGCAATTGAAAGCACTGTCATGCAAATCACCAGGTATACACGTGAAATCTAGAGCTAAAAAGGAAATAAGAGGTGAAATACAAAAACATAACTTCCTAGTGGCATGAAAGATGGCAGAATTCTAGATGAAAAATGAGTCATAATTGAGCAATGGTCACCAACTACAACCAATACCAATTAACTGAATAAATACAAAGCACTCATTGAGAAACTATTAAAATTAGGGCTGGATAACTGGTCAACATTAATGAAAGGAACAAAAACATTGAGAAAAAAGTGAAAGCCTGTTCTCATAAAAAAATTATCTTATCAAAAACCCAGAGACACAAACCATTCCAAAAAACAAAACATGTCACCAAAAACGTTAACTAAGAACCCTCTCTGACAAAATCCAAAAATCACCTAAACAAAGTTCTGTAAACGGGAATTACAAAGATCTCTAATCTGAATCCCTTTACTGAAGAATCTTCTTTGTCAATGACCTTAAGAGAGATCCCTAAAGAGGCAAGAACTATCTAACCAAATATTCCAAAATAAACTATATTGATGATCCTTCTCAAAGCAAAAAAAAAAAAAAAAAAAACACAATTGAAAGAAGCTACAAATTCCCAAAATCCTCTGGAAACAACAGACCATATTCAATATACATGAAAAATGGGCACATATGACAATCTTCCAAACTGCAACCAAATTAAAAAAAAAAACTCCCAATAAATAACTCTGATTAGGGTCCATAAAATCATCAATAAAAGTTTTTGTCAAAAGAACTAATTTCCTTTTTAAATCCTTCTTCACAAGTTTAAATCACTTGGTCAAATTTTAAGGTCTTGCTATTTCTCTCTCTTTCTTTGGCAGCTGATACTGTTAAAGGAATACTTACCATGACGTTATTATAATAGCAAGAGTTATTTTTTCTTTGTTAGTAGAGAAATGTTTTAAAGATCCCATTTTCACCTGTTGAAACTAATTCATAAATTTTATAAATGTTTCTTGTATTTTCATATTTAAATTTTACTTTTTAAATTGAGAAACTATAGAAATTATAAGTATGTAATAATTCTACACTTTTCATTTTTAAATTGACTTTTTTTCTTGCTTAATAAGGCAGTTGGCCATGAATTTTTTTCCTTTTAAACTTTTTTAATGCAAGGGGAGGGAAACAGTTGTGTGGTCAAATGTTAGTCTGCTAATTTTCCAGAATTTTCAGTTTTGGCACCAGATTGTTATAATTTTTATTCACACTAGGAAGGAGAATTAATTTTAAACCGGAACAATTAATAATTAGGTTGATATATATAAATATTGCTATACATATAGTTGGTATTTATTTGTAATTCAGATAAAATTAGTTTTGAAAGCATGTAATATGCTTAGTATTAATGAGATGTGGCACTGAAAAATAGCTCTAAGAAATTGAGATATAAAATTGTGTTTAAAAAGAACGTATTTCCCCTTCACATTCTGCTTCATAGAACTTCAATAAACTCTATAATTTCATCCTTTCCAGTTCTTTGTTCTTACATTTTACGTTTTGTTTTTAATTTCATAGGTTTACCTTCCAACTCAATTACAGCACTTTCTAAATTTTTGAACAATTATGAAGCAGGAGAAGCTATTATTACCACCGTGAGTATTTCCCTGTTCTTTTCTACTCTTTTATTAGATATGATATTAATAAGTTCAATTTTCTTATGGAAATGTTTTTATTCAGATCTGTAAGTGTCAAAATTACATGCTCATTTATATTATATATTTTGCTGTTGTAATGACATGATTTTTTTTTTCTTTATTTCTGATAGAGATAATGAGAGATAAAACATACAAAAGTCCTTAAAATTATATTAAACAATACAGTGTAGAAGATAAATTTCATTCTAAAATTACAAATATGATAATATAATTTAATTGATTTTCAAACATAAAATTAGTAATAAAGATTTGTTAGAGAATCCTCTGGATTTCTATAATTTTCTCATTTAAATTTAACTATACTGGCTTTTATAAGTGCTTATCCTCTGCCTATTAACATCCTTTTTATATCTCACCATATATTCTAATTGGTAATTTTATTAACAACTCTAATAAACTATCATGTGGTTTATAGTATTATTTTAGTATTAGCCAAGATATGATTTAGCTAATGTGGATTTTAAATATGATTGTATATTGTCTGTAGTAATAGTAGTAGTTTTACAAAAATATATAAATGAGGATTTTAATTGTAAAGTTTGGATCTTCAGCTTTAATTAATGCAATTGAAACTGAACTAACTTGTATTTATTGCTATATGTTCAAGTGCAATGGTATATGGATTGTACTTGTACAAGATATTTTTTAAAATAATGAAACTATGAGGATAGTTTAAGCCATTTAAATATTAACAGAAATTTTTTAATATAACATTTTAAATAACAAGAATTTCTCAACATTTGGTTTTGGTTCCTCAGTGTTCCTCATAAAGAACCAAGTTTATTAAGTATGAGCCTAAATCAAAATATTAATAATAATAAAAAAATAACATACCACACCTCATCATACCTACAAGCACTGGATAAATTGTGAGATTTAGCACATTCTTACAGAAATTACTAAAATATGGACTTTCCATTAATTTTCAAATTATACTTAAAATGCTCTTTTAGAAATACTTTTTCAAGCAATTAAAAATATCCAAAAGTTTATAAACAGTTTACCAACAATGAAAAAAAATTATCTGAAAAAATTTTAAGTGTGATAGAAAATCTGTGGGTTCTCTTTAATATTTCACTCTCATCAATTTCATGATATATCCACTTTAAGATAATTAAAGAAATACTTTTTTTTTTTTCTAAATATTACAGATGCATGATATTCTCAGTTGTGTCTCATCTAAAGAAAATATCATCGAAGTTTCCATCAATGTGAAGTTGTGGCAAATTCCAGGTTGCCATGAATTTCTGGCTTCTCTTGGTAAGATAATTTCTTTTCAGATTTTCCAAAGACATATTTTTATTGTTAGATGTCTAGTTCTCATTGGTTTCCTTTTTTATGGTTTATCTACTCTTTGTAGGTTATTTAAAGCCAAGACATTTTGGATTGTAAATTTTTTTTGATGAATAGTGCATTAACAATTTTTTTGAGAATAATAATGATTTTTCCAGTTACATATCCTACTATTTAACCTATAGCTGGGAAGGAGATGGATCCATACCTTTCCCAAAGATATTTGCGCAGAAATGAATGTAACAAAGTCTGCTCTTGAATTTCTCATTCCAAGCCATTATCAATTACATTGCCCACACGTTCACCTCACTGCTTTCTCTTGTGGCTATATCTGTATGCTAGTGAAATCATACAATTTAAAAAGAAAATTCAAAGAACATATTAGATATGTGCGAAATTCTTTTGTTTGCGTCCTCTGATATTATAAAGTAAATTTAATTTTTTAACCAATTTTCAGTATGAATTGTTAATCAAAGTTAATAGTTCAAAGTATAACGCTCCTCATGAAATATCCAATTCTTTATATATTACATTTTATGAACCAGAGAAATCTTTTAATGATAACTATCAAGTTCATTTAAAATGAGTTACAAACATAATTTATGTTTTTACTTTGTTTGGATTTTAATAATTGTTAGCTTATTAGAAGTGTTTTGAATTGGAGTAAATTTTGAAATAATTTAAAAAAATTAAATGAAAAAAAAAAACAAGCATAACTAGAAAGATGTCCATTATATTAAAAATAATAGAAATTATTTTACAATACTAGGGTGAATCAATAAGTCTACAGCTAGACACAGTTATTAAAGGAATTTTGATCTGAAATTTTAATTATATAATGTGATCTATTGATGTATTTATATATTTGATAATTTATTTGGTGTATACATAAAATATAAAGTATATAGCAATATTCAAATACATACAAGTATAAAAATAATTGAATTTACTAAAATATTTTTGTTATATCAGTAGTTAAAAAAAACTAATAGTTGGTGAAAAATTTTAAGCTGTTACTAAACATTTATAATTCTTTAGAGTGCAAAAAATTAAAAAATATTGATTAGAAAAAGCATAATGTTTGTTCATTGGTTAAATTTAATAACTATACTTTTTTTTTTATCTAAGGATTTGATTTACTTGATGTTGGTCGTGATGATGTCACATTGAGATTAGGCAAACAAGCCACTAAGCGTCATCTTCAGTTTGCTCTGCAGTCATTGGTAGCTGTTTTTGGTAAGTCCCCCCCGCCCCAATGTATTTGTTACTAAATAATGTTTACTGATAGAGAAAAGGGTGATTTTTTTTTTTTTTAATTTGAATATATATTTATTTGATACTGTTATTAATGGACTATTTTACACAATTTACATTAATTATACTTCATGGCAAAACCTGTTTTTAAATCTCTCAATCTTAAAGAAAAGAAGCTTATTAAATTTATTACATTTCATTACCATGGTTCATTATGAAAAGTAAGATATTTTTACTCGTATATAAATGATTTTAATTTTTTCTTTTACCAGATACGCAAGAAGCTCCCAAGAGTCTTGCCTTAGACAGTTCCAGTTCTTTGGAGAGTTTGTCTTCTTCCCATAGTTCCAACACCACAACCACATCAGCCTCCACATTGTCTAATTTAGCTGGCACACCTCCATTATCACCACGTGCTAAAAAAAAGTCCTTGTTTAATCCTGCAGAAATGGAAAAAATGAGAAATCTTAATCGACAACATCTTATGCAACAGGTAAAAGACTGAAATAAAAAAAAACATACAGGCAGGATATCTGCAAAATTATATTTCTCTTCAGATTGAGATTTTAATTATTTTTTTTATTATTCTTTTCCAGGTTGGATAGAAAATCGTTTATAGATACATAGTTATAAATGTGTGTGTGTGTGTTTGTGTGCATATATAAATAGGTACATGTGTACAAAATCATTGATATAGGACCATGTGTATGTAGCAAATTGAAAATTGTTTCTCTACATGGATACTAAAATACCTGACACATTAGTGTCTGCCACTTTCTGTCATTCAAAATTGATTGGGGCTTATAGCCACATCACATTGAAGAACCAGTTCTTGTACAATCACCAAAGTCAAGCTTAGTCAGTACTTAGTTGGGTGACCACTTGAGAATAACAGGTACTGTAAGATTGGATGTACAGGTGGTGTAATGGATAATGGCTCAGAATTTTTAATCAAAGAGTAGTTTCAATTCCTGTTGGTTTTGTTATAGTCACTTATGTGCAAATACCTTTGCAAAAGGTAAGAATCTACCTCTTCTACCCCCAGCTATGGGTTAATTAGTAAGACTTGTATCACTTAACCATTATTATCTCCCCCCCCCCAAATTATTACAATTTAAAAATATTTTATTTTTATTTTTTTTATTAACCTGCAATGAGTTGATAAGCCATAGAAAACAAATCAATCAATCAATCAATCAAAATTGATTGCTTCATTTGTATTTTTTATGGCTCATTAATCCTTTGTGGGTTATTTAAAACCAAAACATATTTCAGACTGTAGGTTGTTGTTGTTGTTACCAAGCAGTCCTCCAGTGAAGTACTGTCCAAGCTTGACTTTGCTTAACTTTGGTATTGAACTGTCACTCAAAAACTACTGTTAATTAAATTATCCAATAAAGCTTTTTCTGCAAAAGAAACAGCTGTATTACACATAGTAAAATTTAGAAACAAGCTAAAAGTAACCACCTAAAGGATACTTATAATAATTGCAGTATTTCTAACTTATGTGTACTGTATATTTGAAAGACTGTCATATAGTCTTCACTGAAATGAGCCCATCCTTGGGGCAGGTCATTCTTACTTTTTGTCCATGCATACATCACTTTTAGCTCCATTATAAATAAATAAGATTTGACCATTTAGAATACTGACAAAAATATTAATAAAGATAATTAAAAATCCAGCATTTCTACAGAATTAATTTACATTTCTAAGAAAAATTACATTAACATTTTGCTCACTTGGTGAATAAAAGCAATTGCAACCTGCTAAAATAAAACTGTTGCTAAATAAATGCAAAATTTTCTCACAATAGATGAAATTGATAAAGTGCTGAATGTGATTTGCCAACTTCTATCAGAAATGGGAACTTCAATTTTGGTTGGAATCTATTATTTATTCTGTTTTCCATTGTTGATTACTATAACCATATAATATTTTGTCTTTTGTTTCTATGCAGGGTGGTCTAGTTGGTAAAAGCAGTACTCATTATAAAGCATCCAAAATTCCTCCTCCAAACCCTTCACTTTGTCTCTCCCATCAAAACCGCATCAAAGCCATGTATCCACCTGAAAACTGCTTTTTGCGCAGTCCAGCAACGAGTCCAGAAAGTTGCATGTCAATAAGCAGCACGAGTAGTCCTGACGAATTATCTAATCTCCTTCATTTAACAAATTCCCAAAGCACTCCCAACATTGCTTCTCAAGATAGTCAGATGGGCCAGAAAACAGGTGAGAATTTCAAACTTTAATAAATACTACCCTTTCAAGATTCCACTAGTAGAATTTACCTGTTCACTTTGAACAAGTCAAAAGAATGAAGTAATTAAGGAAATAACTTTGGATCTTTTAAGACTCATTTCCTTTGGGCAGTTTTTATATGTATGCATGTGTGTATACTGAACATTTACATACATTTTTATATCTAACTTTCTTGGCATATTTTAAAAATAGGCAAGTTATATTTTGTACAAGGAAATATGAGAGAATTATGAACTTAGATTTACTAATTAGATTAAGAGGTTCTCCAGAAAGAAAATTAGGACACAAGTGCCTTCCCAAGAATAATCAGTTTTCTGAAATCTAATTAACAAAAAAATATTAAAAAATAAAGATAAAAATTAGGTACATGAAAAAATAAACATAAAAATCTATATCAATTCTTTTATTTAGATGTTTATATTTATTGAGTGAAGTGAATTCTCTACATACACACATACATACATCAGCTGAACAATATCTTAAGGAAGGCAAATTTTGAAAACTAATAATGGCTATCAGTAGGTAGTAGAATAGTTCTTTCTGATAACTATATTGCTGTCATACTTTGTATGAAAGTGTTTGGAGAAAGGGTTTATTTTTGTTTAAGGTTTTCTTTCTCTTAGGCTATTTGTTGTTGACAGATCATTTTTTCTGCTGTGATTTGAACTTGCATCCCACATCACAGAAGCCCGTTTTTCATAGATGTCACCTTAACTATCATTCCCATGGAAATCTAGACGAGCACAATCTGTAGTCCTCTCCTCTGATTATCTAGGCTATCATTTTGCTATATTGAAAATGCTTCATCAGAAAGTAACAAAAAAAAACAAACAGTAGGTAATTGTTAACTCTAGCATTAAAGGATTTTATTGTCCAAGAGTGTTATAATAAAAAACAAAAATAAGATGGAGCAAAACTAGTAAAATAATAAAAATAATAATGAAAAAGTGAAAACACTTATCAAATGATTTATTTTGAAATCTTTGTCTTATACTGACTTCTTTAATCCTTGAATTATCTTCCACATTGGCATTGAAACTTTGCTATAGTAAAAATACCAAAATATGGAATATAAGAGGATGACACTTCCTAAAATCAATATTTCCATGACCAAACATAATAATATGGAATTTGGGAAACGGGGGGGGGGGGGATAAGAATTTTTCAACACACTTGTAAGTCAGAAAAAAAGAAAACAGTTTTGCCTATTGTCTGGTTCACACTCATCTCCATCTTTTGAACAGGAGTAGAGTTTTATCTCTTGTTTCTTGCTTAGGATTGGGTTTCTGGGTTCTAAAGTCTTTTCCTTTTCTTTCAGTATCCTTTGTATCTTAGTGGCAATATTGCCTTGCTTGGAGTGAATTGATTTAAAAAAAAAAAATGATAACAAAATAACAAGTTATGATCATAATAGCAGGGAAACCATAATACTAATACATAGGTAATTAGTAATGTTTGACTATTGTTATATTTTCAAACATATTTCTGTTACAGTTTCCAACACTGAAATCTTATGAAAATAATAAACTTTATAAAATTTCTACTCTAATTTATCAAAGTTGCACAAAATATTTCTTTGTTTCATATTTGATAGATAATTGTAATAATTATGTTTGTTCAGTCAAATTTTCTTATCTGTTATTTTTTTTATGACAATCTTTCAGCAGTTATACTTTCTAGCCTTTTTCAGAAATGTTGTGTATTTTGGAATTTTAGAACCTTGTTCTGAAGGAGCATGTGATTCCTCTATGTACATCACATTTGTTGACTTGGAATTGTCCTTCCCTGACCAAATGTGGATTTCATGAACCTTCTCAATTTTGAGGCATGTTTATAGAGCCTCAAATTCATTGTTTATTCATTTATGATCAATGTCTCCCACATGCACTTGACATCTCTGCTTGGCTTGCTGAACTCATATTTTAATGCATTGTATTTCTGTATTTAATGTAGGTATTATTGCTTTGTAAGAATTTGATGTTACAATAGTTAATGTTCTTTGAAGAAAGTATTATTAATATTAAGCAGTTTACTCCCTTTTACAATTTGATGATCTTTAACTGATATAGGCAAGAATTTTTTATTATGTTGCTATTCATGTATATTCTATTTATTGTATTTACTAAACCAACAGAATAATACTTTGCCATAAGTAATGTACACAGTTATGACTCACAGGCCATTACTTCTGTAGAAAATTTAATCATAACCTGTTCCATGGTAAGGTATTTTTTGTCTGGTTTTCAGATATTTTATTCACAAGTAGATTTTGAGTTAAACCAATTGAAAGTTTCACCGAAGCAAAACTCAATTTTCAAGAAACATTTGTTTTTTACCTTTTAATTTGCATTTGAATTATAAGCTTTAGAGTCAATAAAAGTCTGTTCATGACCTTAATTTAAATTAAAAAGATATTACAAGTTAACTAAGAGTGGATCAATAAATAAGTCTGTACAAACAGTTATTAGCTGAATGTAGATCAGAAAACTTCACTGTATAATGTTCAATTTATGTGATTAATATTCACTATAGAATCAAGTGCATTTATAAAATTATGTTGAAAAATCATCTTTTTATACTGTAAAATATTTTTTTTTCATCATGAGGCTTTCTCATCTGGTTAAAAGGTTTACTAATATGCAATACATATTATTTTTATTATCAATATTATTATTTTTGTTGTTATTTTTCTTTTTTTTTAACTCTCAAATTTATTTCACCAGCCTATCATATCTACATATAAGAATAGTTGTATATTTAGGCAGCAATCCTTCCTTTATGCATGTTTCATTAAAAACGACAGACAAGGTACTATGGTTAAGCTTTTTAATTAATTTTTCTTGTGTTCTAACAAGAGCTTTCTTTTCTGGACAAAGAGTGTAAGAACTGTCCAAATGTTTTATATTTCTGAGCGCTTTCAGCTATACCTTTAGCCATTATCAAGGATGATTTGATTTTTCAGCTTAATTGAGTGTGTGCATTCTGTGTATGTGTAATAATAAAAAAGAAAAAGCCAACTCTTAACAATATTAACTACGAACAAAGCCACAATGTGCTAACTGTATTTGGAAATTAAAAACATCCCTACCACACACTAAGACATACTCGGAAATATAAAACATTTGGACAGTTCTTACACACTCTTTGTCCAGAAAAGAAAGCTCTTGTTAGAACACAAGAAAAATTAAATAAAAAGCTTAACCGTAGTAGTCTGTCATTTTTAACGAAACATGCATATTATAAGAAGCATATGTGGACAATCTTTCTTTATTATTATTATATATATATATATATATATATAAACTATTTGTACAACAAATCTTTTTTGCACTGTGTTTAAATGTTTATTTTTGTATTTCAGGTGGATCTACTGATTCATTTCAAAAAGCTCCCTCCTACATGAAAAGATTGATCAAATCTTATTCTATGGATGATTCATGCAGTGATAAAGAAAGTCCTAGAGCTGATTCTACCCACCATTTTATTCAAAAGCAAATCTGGAGAGACAAAAGGGAACTAGGCGATGCTCACAGCTCCTCCAATGAAGAAACATTTTCGGACAAACCTTTTGACAGATTGTCCCCAAGTTGCACATCTGGAAGCTCTAGGATCAGTTTACTTGCTTCCAAGTTTAATAAAAGTGACAGCGGAATTTTTTCAACTGTTTCTCAGAGTCCTAAAAATCCAAGACCTGTGTTTTCTTCATCAAATTCCCTTTTTAAGAGAGTTGGAGGAAATGGTGAGCAACAGAAGGTACCAAGTTCTGCTTCTGTTTTAAACCCTGAAGAAATTGCCCAAAAAATTTTGGCTGATGTTGCACCCCAACGAGAAGCAGTTGAACAACTTCAGAAAGCCAGTTTTGTTCAGTCGCAAAAGAAGACCCACATACTTCGGTCAGAACAGATCCAGCAAAGAATGAAATCAAGTCCTGATGGCCATAGCCATAGTTCATACTCTTCAAGTTCAGCCAATTCTTCCAGGCGAGCAAGCCCTGCCTGTAGTCACACAGGTGATATGATCACATGTAGGCATACCCCTAGTCCATCTGATAAAAGCTCTGGTACTTATGCTAGTAACAGTAGCTGTCGGTCACCAATAGTATACAGAGAACACTCTCCAAATTCATTATACAGAAGTAGTTCTCCAAATGTAGGGAAGTCTCCTGCAATCTATCCAAACAATGCTGTTAAAAAAGAATCTCACCTTGGAGGAGGTTTGTGGGTGAATACTACAGAAAAGCAGTCAGATCTGCCCATGTCTAGTGCTACCAATCAATTTTCATCCTGTTCTTCAATAGGAAAATCTACAAATAGTTTGGCAGGTAGCCAGAACAAAATTCCTTTGACTGATGGGCATTCAGATTTGACAAATAACAATCCTCTTCCTGTATCACCAGCACCTTCAGGATGGAGTAAAGGCACGCAACAAATATTAACTTGTCTTTCTTCATCTCAACTCAGTACTTTTAGTAGCCAAAACAACCAATCTGAAACTTTTTCTTCTTCCTCTTATAATGCACTGACCAAACCTCCAATCCCTGCCAAACCCCAGCTTCGGCAGACAAGCAATTCTGCTTTTAAGTGTTTATCTTCAGGTGAAAGTAATTCAAAAGGAAGAACAAGTTCTGGGCAACAAGGAAACCAGTCAGTTAACAACAATAAGCAATCAGTTAACAAAAACCAGTCTGAAAAAGTTTCTTATCCATCAACATCATTTGACACTGTTGTTCTTGTTCATTCAAAAAATATTCCTGTTTCTAAATCACATCTGGGGACATTTTCCACTTTTAGTACTGACCATTCTAGCACAACACCAGAATCTCCAGAATATTCTGTCTTAGAGCCTGAAGTTCCTTCTAGAACCATTCCATCACATGCAGATAAACAAACATTAAACTCTCAACTGCATACATTCACAAACACAGATAAGGATTTTCAACTAAAGAATTCTCCACACTCTGAATTTAAAGATTCTGTCTCTAGAAAAACTATTCCTGATTATACAACTGTGCTTCCAGCAGTGACAAGTTCTGAGTGTGAAAACCCAGACTCAAATGCTAACCAATTCCCTTATCCCAGGTCAAGAACAACCCATTCCCAGAACAAACGATACTCTGACCCCTCTATACTTGAAACAGACTTGTCCAATCCTCAGGTCAATAATCAAACTAACTATTTACCCTCACCAGCCTCTGTTCGCTCTTCAGAAGGAAGAAGTGTACAGAAAAGAGTGTGTTTCAAAGACCTGGACAAATCTCCAACTAGCAAACCCTCTTCTACTACCCCAATTGCCAGAAACCGTGTGTCTTTTGATTATGAGCCAATGGATAATCTTCGTTATTCAGATTTTCCTTTGGCCACATCAAGGCCTGAAGGCAGCCAATCCCATTTCTCATCAAGTGTGCCATATTCTGGAGAACAATCTTCATCAGTAAATATAGAAAATGTACAGACATTTTCAAGACATTCTTACTCACAGCTTACCAATGGCAGACCCCCACCTCATGTTCCAGCCCATTTACCTTCTTCATTCTCTCATTCTGCTAATCATGCCCCTCCAGCTCCTTCATCTGCCATGTCAGCTCGTCCCATTCCCCCACCTAGGTCAACATCTATTGTCCGGTCGGCAAAAACCAACAATGGTGTTTCACCGTCAAATCATAGAAAAAGTAAAGTTCTTCAAATTTCGAAGTGTTAACATCAGTCAAGAAATAGGATTATGCTGATAATAAAATTATTTCTTGTTTTTTTGTTTCTCTTTCCAAAGCCAGGAAGAGAAAAAATGAAAGATATTTTTAAAATACTGTATGATAAGAAGAAATATAAGTTTCTTTATAATTTCATTTTTCTTTTTCTTTTTTTCTTTAAAAAGATATTTTTGTGAATCTGTTTTTAAATTCTAGCAACATATGGTCTGGTGTTCCTGCTGTATATTTAGAGATTCTTGATAAAATCCAAAGAAGAATCAGCAATATCATTTATCCTGACATCTCGGCTTCAGTCTCAGCACCCTAATGTAGCTTACCTGTGCCTTTTCTGTAAATGCTTTCATGGTAATTGTTTAGATGAACTCTTCACTACGGTACCTTGATTTTATGAATTTAAGTGCAGTACCAGATTGGCGGCAAGGTCTCATGAATTCACAGTTGAAATGGCTAGATGTAACCATAAGTTCTATACTAACAGTTTTTTTTTTTTTTGCATTTCTTGTTTATGGAACTAATCTTCCAGCTTTCCAGCCAACTTTAAATGCAATGTCAGTTGTGATCTCCTGTCTTGATTAGTCTTCTATTCTTCTCACTCCATTATGTGTGTTGTTTGTTTTTGTGTTCTTCCACGCTCAGTAGCCCCTTGTGTCCTAGTGCCTTCACTGCTTTGCATGGGTGATATTAAAAAAAAAAAAAAAAAATATCTTCATAGTATTAATATGTATTTTAAATCTTGAGAAATTTGCACACATTTGCTGATATTAGTTGAGATAACAGTTTTTACTTTGCAGCTTAAAATTAGCTCAATTAGTTTGAACGTCTTTGAGCATCTGAAACAAAAAGTTTTTCTTTTGAGAAAAACATTGATAAAAAAAGATTATCACTGCATTTGCTCCCTTGCAGATTATCCTACCTTCTTCCTATATATCATGTGCAAAAGAGGATATATTTTTAGTGCACCCAGTTTTTTTTTTGACTTGTATATAAATAAGTAAATGATAATATTAGCATTTAATAGAAACCTCATTTGAGAAATTGTTTTTTTTCCAGTTCAGCACAAACATGAATTCCACAATATCATTCAGTTATAAATCATTTATTTTTTTTTAATTCTTTGTTAGCATATTTTAGGTGTACCTTAATACCTACAGCTACAATCAATGCACTCTTTTGAAATTTCTTTAAGTTGAGTATGAATGATGAACCACAATTATTTTTCACTTATAAATCCCCTGGATTTTTATTTATTTTTTTTTTATGCCACCTTAATCTCAATGCCATTAGCTACAATGCTTGGTTACATGCAGACATACAAAATCAAATCATTGGTATTCTATAGATAAATGTATACAAAATATAAATAATCTTTCCTTAATTTGAAAAATTCCAATTATTATTATTTTTTTTTTTTTTTTTTTTTTTTTTAAGTATTTCTGGTTTATTTTTACCACTATTACTTTATAATTACTTAAATGAGTAATTTGTGTACTCAATATTAATTTATTAATTTTGACAAGTATTTTTTTTTCATTTTATTTCTGTTGCATTTAATTGTAACTGTCAGATTATTTTATGGTCGTTAGTAAATAACAAGAATCGGAATAAAGAATAAGCCTCTTGCAAGATACAAACTTGCACTCCTTTTCTTGATTCTTAAGTAACTACTTATTAAACCACAAAAACTATTAGTTCTAAAAGCTCAAATCTAATATAGGTTTTGTTTTTTTCTGTGAATATTTTAAGGCAACCATTTTTGTTTTTAATGTTTACATACACTAGTAGCATTATCTTGAATCTATTAGATGAAACATTGGCAATTATTGTTGTTTATTGATTTTTCTTTCATGTTAAATTGAAGTGCCAAAAGACATTGATCTAATAATATGCAGCTGTTCCTTCTGCCTGATTAATGATACCTGCATGATGTGTCCAAGGAGCTGGTGTCATCATATGGGTATATCCATTCAGGCACATTCCAGGGTTGTCAATAATTGAGTTGATTCTGTTAGTTGCTACAAGTATTTTGTGATATCTGCAATATGCCTTAGATATGCTCCATAGAGTTTAAATTTTATGAGTATGAGAGCTTGGAAGTTAGCCAAGTTTTCCTGGGATCAGTTTTGTGTCACTTATGCATGATAATAGATGCTGCAGTAACATGTCTTGCTTGAGCAAATGGTTGTGAGTATAAAGGGAGGTAAATGGTCTTGCAATAAGATCTGTATATGTTACACTTGTCAAGACTTGCTCCAGTTTCATTAATAGTCTTTGTAAACTCATTCCACATGACAGAGCCATGACTATCTTGCACAACACCTTGGCTGACAGGCTGGATCAATAACATTATGCAGTCTCTTATACACACCTATAAACTCAATTATTTTCCTGAAAGAGATGTAACTGTGATCAGATCAATCTCTTGCAATCCAAGTTCTCATATAAGGTACAATAACTGAAGCCACAATATCAATAATGATGTCCTTTGTCATGAATGAATTAAGTGTTGCTGCTGACACTTGGATTGCCAGAGAGCAAGCAAAGTTAACCTCATTTTGAAATAATTAGATCACAGGACGGGCAAAGGAAAAATATATATATATATATATATGGGAATTGGCAGCATCTAATCGGAGTATTGTTTGAAGGTGTTACTATTATTGTATCTGTGATTTACAAAGTCTCTCCTACAAATGGGCATTACAAAATCCTTGGTTAATGACTGTTGAGCAGCACTAATTCACACCTCAATTCAATACTAATGTAATTTCCTTCTTTGTTTGGGGACCCATCATCCATGGGCACTTAATTTTAATATGCCATTGATGTCTGTCCAAAATTCACATATTTCTGGTATACCCTTGTTATTTTGCCAGGGATGAAAATTAGAAATTGTTACCATGGAAATAGTGTCCTATCTATTATTCCATAGGCAGTATTAAATTCTGTGTCTCATAACTGCCGCAGCTATACCGTCTCTTTAACTATGTTATCTTCTACAATTAGGAGGGGAAGAAAGCATCCAGTGTTCTGCAGATCCTATCATATTTAAAATTAAATTTATTTTTATTGCTTTTTATTAAGAAACAAGAAAATTTGTTACAAGCAAAGAAAAGTGTTAAACTGGTATGTAATATCAGTCTTCCTTTATGGTAGTAAATATTGGACAATCTCCTCACAGATGAAGAGACTTTAGACAACAGAAATGTGATCCTACAGGATGCTGAGAATACCAAGGTCTGAAAATGTGAGTAACAAGGAAGTTTTAAGGAAAAGGAAAACAAAAAAGGGTGCTTATATTTAGAATTAGAAAGTGGCAATTGAAATTTTTAGGACACATAATTAGGAAAGATTGCCTAGAGCATCTGACACTCACAGGACATTGAAAGCAAGAGAGACAAAAGAGAGTAGCAAATAACTTACCTAATGAGTATGGCAAAACAGGGATTGAGCAAGACTTACTAAGAACTTCAAAGTATAGAAAATTGTGGAGAGCTATGATTTCTCACATCCTGAAGGGACATAGTATATAGAACAACAGACCCCTATTCTATTATTCTTAATAAGCAGGATGGAACAGAAACAAAGAATAAGATGTAAGGTATTTAATAGTTGCAATAAAAAACAGAAGTAAAATGAAAGATTACTAGTCAATAATTGATAATGCTTCACCTAATAATAAAGTTTAAATTCTTGCTTGTTCTTAAGGAATTCTTTACTTGAAACCCTGAGTAAGTGATCTTCTTTTTTTTTTTTTTCTCTTCAAATAATTTAGCTTAAGGTTTTGCAAAGCTGTACTCAGACAACTATAAACTGTTCAAGAAACTAAATTGTTTTTGACATATAAATTTGATAATTATGCCAAAAATAATTTATTTGTACACTTGTTATAAGTTGATGTTTTAAAATTTTAATATACAATCTACTTGCCCAAGTCTGTCCAAATGACAAAACAGAACTTTTTCTGGAATAGCTTCTTGGTCAGGCCAAGAACTTTTCAGTACACACTTCCACATATTGAATGTATTTTGAGTATATGACATTACTACTTCAAACATGTATGTCCCTGTTAATAGTCAGTTGTCATTTAAATGAACAAAATTGTTTTGACAGCCAGATATACTGAAAATCAGATGTTAAATAGCTGTCATGAACTTTAGTTGATTACTGAAATAAACAATGAAATACTTTTTTAAACTAAAACTTTAAATACTTGCAAGGTGTAAAATTTACTATTTTATGAAAGTTTTTTTTTTTTTTTTATAGATTACTTCTACAATATATGCTTTTGGGATTCTGCTTCCTTACAAATTATCAGGGCAGCTAACTCCTATCTTGTGATGTTGCCAAATGAGACAAGAAGGGTGGATGATAGATAACATTATCTAGTTGAAAAAGACAACAAAGACTGGAAAAGAGTACAGAACACTAAATGCATTAATTAGAAACAAATGAAGGCAGGCTAGAGGAATGTCTCAATGAAAAGTTTGCAGAAATAGAAAGGATGAGAAACATAGATAAAGCAAATATGCATAAAAGAACATGACAAAAGATGTGTTCATCAACAGGTTGTATAAAGTCAATGGAGGAAATACAGGTAACAGAAAAAGAAAAAACATATACCAAAGAGTGAATACATTAGAAAACTAATTCATGATGAGAAAGAGAAACCTAGAATACAAAAGAATATTGAGGGACTGAAAATATTAAAGTCTGAAATAAGATTGGCACTGGACAAGATCAACAGAAACAAAGCAATAGTATCAGGTGGGATCATAATAAAAAGGCTCACATCCTTAGACAAATGCAATATGATAGGTCTTCTGGTATGTACCACTTAGTAGATTTATCTTTGTAGTGCTATCTAAGAAAGCAGGTGTAAATCAATGCAAATTTAATGACCCAAATAACCAAGCTAATAATCCAAATTCTGATGAATAGAGTGTGAAGCAGAATTAAACTGGAAATAGATTAACAGTGTGACATTATCAAG